GTTTGGATAAAAAGTGAATCACGAAGTCCTTGGTTTGCAAATACTGTTCTGCTATTTGCATTCTTCACCCTTCTGAAAACATCAAGTGTTATCCCTTTCCTGGACAAATGCAGTGGATCTTAATTGGTCTCTCTGCAGCTCTTCCGTTTTTATCTAATCTAGTCTCTACACCAGAGGCAGAATAATCTTTAAAACTATGAACCAATAATGATATTAATGTGCTTAAAAAACATGAGACATTTACTATAACTTTCAGAACAAAATTCAGGTTTGTAGCCTTGATCCGAAGGCCCTGTACGTTTGCCCTTCTGGCCTTTCTCACCCTGCCCCTCATGAGATCCTCTTAGATGTCTGAATGACCCATATGCTCCCTTATTCTTTATTCATTTTCCCCACATTTTCTGTTCTCCCTTTTCTTGGCTTTTACACCGGGTGTTCCCTCTGGTCCAATTGCTTCCTCTGTTTTTCTCTTTTCCTGTCCTATTGAGTGTTCATCATTCCCTTTTTCAGGGAAATCTTCCCAGATAGCACACTAGAGCAGCTATCATTTTCACACTTTCATAGAAAACAATCTTTCCTTCATCATTTTGATTTTTTTTTTAGTTTATTAAGACTTAAAATAGATATAAATCTTAAAGCTTGGTTCTTCTAAGGGGAAGGAGTGAAACAGCTTAATCAGCCCATGCTGACATAAAATACCATAGACTGGGCGGCTTAAGCAACAAGAGGTTTATTTCTTAAAGTTCTAGAGGCTAAGAAATCAAGATCACCATGCCAATATGATCAGGTTCAGGTGACAACCCTTTTCCTGGCTTGCAGTGCCTGCCTCCTTGCTGGGGGCAGCAGTAGGAGGCAGAGAAAATATATATTCTTACTTCAAAATGATAACTAATTATATCTCTGTGATATAATTATTTTCTTTCTATATTTTTCATGTCACATTCTCTCTTCTGGTTATCTGAGCTCTTCATTCAACTAACAAATATATACTCATGTTTAAACTATTGTTCTCTTCATCCACTGATTTCCTAAAGAGTTGAGAACTATTTGGGTAGGCCACCTGTGGGTTAGGTTTAGAAGCAGAAGTGAAATAAAATGACTAGATGGTAAATCCATTAATTTTCCTTTTATTGCCTCTTTTCTATCCTGCCCCTGCCCACTTAGTCCACAGGAAACACTGTTTTTGTTTGTTTATTTTGTTTCATTGTTGTTTTTGTTTGTTTGCATTTTAAATTTATATGAGTGGTATCATATACTATGTGTTTCTTTTTGTCTGGTTTCTTTCACTTGGCATAATTATTCTGAAAACCATCCATATTGTTACATGTACCAATAGTTCATCTTTTTCTTTTTTTCTCAATAGTACTGCATTGTATGTGTTAAGGAAAACATATATCCATGATACTTGTTAAATTGTCAATACAGGCTTTTTTTAGGACTATCAAAAGAGATATGAGGGAGTATTGCAATGGAATTTTGTAGTAGGGAGAAAAGATGGGCTCAATACTGAACAGAAGAAAAAGTAGAAATTCATAGCCAAGGAGAGAATGGATGGAAACATCAGAAGTTAAAGGAGGATTCTGCATACACTGACCTAACAAAATTCTCGGTGATGGTAGGTCAAAGTGATCATACTTCACCAGGGGAGTCCATGGGATGAAGATATTGATGGTGATTAGGTATCAAGAGTGGGGGAGTCCAGCTAAACTGACATGGCAAAACTCAACTTTTTGCTAAAGTCGAGCTTAAGCTTAAGATAATATAGATATATGCAATTTGTTAATGCATAAATCTGTACATGGATATTAAGTAGCTTATGGTTTTTGCTTATTACAAGTAGAGCTTCTGTGAACATTTGTGTACAAGTCTTTATATAGATATATGCTTTAAATTCCTTTGGTAAACAAATGCCAGGGAATAGAAGGGTAGATCATATGCTAGTTGTACGTTTAACTGTAAGAAAGTGACAAATTGTTTTCCAAGTTTGTTGTACCACTTTCTATTCCTGTAAGTTCCTCCATATCCTCCCCGATGCTTGGTTTGTCAGCCATTTTAGTTTTATTCTAAAAATGGTGCAGTAATTTTAACTTTACTTCACTAATGTCTCATGATGTCAATAATCTTTTTATATGCTTATTTGTCAAGCATATATATTCTTTAATAAAATGTTTATTAAAACCTCTTTCCCATTCTTTGTTAGATTATATATTCATGATAATTTTCAGTTTTGGAAGTGTGGTTTTTTTTTTTTCTTCAATATGGGTCCTTTGCTAGACCTAAGATTTGCAAATATTTTTTTAGAGTTTGTGACTTATCTTTTCATTGTCTTATCATTATCTTTTGAAGTGTAGCAGTTTTATAATTTGATTGAGTTCATTTTATCAACCTTTTTCATGAATCATGCTTTTGATGTCATACCTAAGAAATCTTTGCTTACCCCAAGGTCATAAAGATTTTCTTCTGTATTTTTCCTTAGAAATTTTATAGTTTTAAATTTTATATTTAGGTTTATGATATGTTTTCAGTTGTTTGTTTTTTTTTTAATGGATGGAACTTTAGTTTCTGTGTATGTATATTTATTTATTCAAGTACCATTTGTTGAAAAAAACTATCTTTTTAAAAAAGTTTTGTTTAAAAATAGTTATCCATGTACATATTGGTCTGTTTGTGAACTTTCTTATCTGTCCCACTGATATAATTCTCTATCTTTTTTCCAATACTACACTATCTTGGCAACTGTCAATTTATTATGTCCTGAAATGAGGTAGTGTTAGTCCACCAACTTATTTTTTGCCTTTTTGTTTTGTTTTGTTTTTTGTATTCTAGATATTTTGCATTTCCACACACAATTTGGAATTAGCTTGTCAATTTCTAGAAAATGTCTGCTGGGTTTTTATTGGCATTAGGTATAATTTACCAGTTTGAGGAGAGGTGACATCTTAGTGGTTTTGAATCTTAGAAATCATGAATAGGTTATATCTCTTTATTTATTTGGGTTTTTGTTAGTTTCTCTTAACAATGTTTTATAGTTCTTATATTCTTGTACATACTTTTACACATGTAACTAAGTATTTCATATTTGTTTATGCCACTGGAAAATTTATTTTATTTTAATTTTCAATTATTTATTGTTAGTATACACAATTTTTGTAGCAATCTTGTATCATACAGCTTTACTAGGTATATTAGTTAGTCTCAGCAGCTTTTTTCTTGTAGATTCTATTGAATTTTTTTATGTAGAGGATTATGTCACCTGCAAATAAATGCATTTTGATTTCTTCCTCTTCTTCCCCCACCAATTTCTTAGAAATATTGTGTTTTTTGCTTTAATATTCTGACTAGAAAGTCTAGGAAAAGCTTGAGTAGAAGTGAAAGTGATCATTCCTCTTGTTCCTAGTTTAATTTCTATTCTAAGTTTTTATCAGGAATGGATGTTAGATCCTGTAAATAATTTCTCTGCATTTATTAAATCTTCACATGGGTTGTCTTTTTTTGTCTGTTAGTATGGTAAATTATGCTAATAGGGATTTTTTTAAAATGTTAAATCAATCTTTATTTCTGGAATAAACCCTACTTCATCATTATATATTATCCATTTTATAGTTCTCTAATAACCATTTTTTAAATATCATTGATTTTTGTCTATTTTTTTTCTGTGTTCTATTTCTTTGATTTCTCTATTTTTATTTTTTTCCTTTCTATACTTTAGGTTTAGCATTTTTGTTGAGGGAATTAATTTGAGATATTTCTTTTTCTTTTCTATCTTTTCTTGCATAGTAGCTTAGTGGTAAATTTTTCATATTTCCATTAAAATACCTGAGTTCTATTCTGGGGAAGAGTTAAGCTATGTGAAACAGTTTGATCCTTTGAGGTCTTCCTTTAAATTTTATTAGGAGTTAGGGCAAAGTTAGTCTAGGGTTGATTATTTGGCATTGTTGAGGCAAGTTTCTTCCAGTTACTCTATTCAGACTCTAGTGAACTGGCAAGTTTTCAAATCTGGTTGGCGTTAACAAACACAATTCATGGACCTGTGTGATTTTGGGAACTCTTCTCTCTTAACCTTGTGCATGGCTCTTTCACCAACCTGAAGTTGTATTAGATGCTTGTGCATGTGCTTCGTACTTGGCTGAATCATCCAGGAGAGCCCTATGCAGATACCTAGAGCTCTTTTTCTGTTACATTCTTTTCTCTGACACTCTGCCCTATGAGATCTAACCCCACTGCCCTCTAATTCTCAGCCCTATGCCACTCAGGGAGTTGTCCAGGTTCTGTTGGGTTCTTCTGTTCTAGGCTGCTACCTGAGTCTCTCTCAGGCCTTTAGCCATGGCCATCATGAGACTTACTCAGTTTATTTCCTGAATTAATTAGGAATACTTGTGCTTTGTTACCTGATGTCCAATGTGCTGAAAAGCCTTGTTTTATATATTGTATTCAGTTTTGTAGTTGTCTTATTGAGAAGGTAAATCTAGTCCTTTATTTTGGTCTAAGTAGAAGTTTTGTCTTTACTTTTAAACTTCTATTGCCAATATATGTATAGCTGGTTTAATCACTCATGGTGAAAACTTCCTGGAGGAAAAGCCTGGGTCTTATAGTTCTTTATAATCCTTTTATAGTTTTGAGAGCTTGATTAGTGTTCACTGGCTATCTGATGATTCTTAATAAAGATAAATGTTTATTAATAATCACAATCTCATATTTTTGACCTGGTGATTTTGTTTCATAATACTGAGAAAATGCAGTTGCTTATATAAGCTGAATGATTAGTAAATAGAAATATAATTAAAATAATAAACACATTGTAAATGCTAAGAATGATTAAAACATTTAAAATAAAGCTATAAAGAATTTTATGGTAATACATTTAGTAAAATGCATTTTATCTGATGATTTTTTATTGATTAATCTTATTTTCTTAATTTTTGAAGCAAAAATAGATGAGGATATAGGAATACCTACAATTCATTTAAATATATATATACATATATTTAAATTTATTTCAGGTGATTGTTAAATCTGGGCCAGGAACTTTCCTCAGTTTAGCTGTTTATGACAATTATATCTTCTGGTCAGACTGGGGAAGAAGAGCTATTCTGCGTTCCAACAAATACACAGGGGGAGATACAAAAATTCTTCGTTCTGATATTCCACATCAACCAATGGGAATCATAGCTGTTGCCAATGACACCAATAGCTGTAAGTTACACTAGAAACTAAATGTATTTCTTAATAATATAATCTCTCAAAAAATTATGTTTTCTAGTAATACTTAGTTGGATTTTGTTTTCTTAAATTTCCTGGGGTAGTGTTCAGGATTTGACTACTCAATATATTAAAATTATCTGAAATGCTCAAGGTAACTTCTGTAGTTCTTAATTTATCAACAGAAGAACAGAAGAACAATTCCTTTTTAATCACTTATTTGTTCTCTCTCACTCTCAATCTTTGAATATTCAAATCAAGTTGTTTTCGTGAAAGTAATACTTCTTGATAAATAAGTTTTACATCTGGGCTTAAAAGTGCTTTAATCACTGGAACACCTACAAAAATTGCAGCCTGAAGTGTCAGTATGTTTTTAAGTGATACTAGTTTATTTGATGCCATGACATCCTTGACTAATGTTTTAGATGATGAAATTACTTATGTGACATGTTTTTCTAACGTTCTTATCTCTTGTGATGTTTGGATTTTCAAAAGTCCTGAATCTTCCTTGGTTATATCTTTGAGAGATGGGGGCAGCGTAACAGTTTGCTATTAATTTCTATCTATCATGGAATAGAAATTCAACATAAAATGTTGCCAATAAAGTTTCTTCATTGCAGGTGAACTTTCTCCGTGTTCCTTATTAAATGGAGGTTGCCATGACCTGTGCCTTTTAACTCCTAATGGGAGAGTAAATTGTTCCTGCAGGGGGGATCGAATATTGCTAGATGACAACAGATGTGTGAGTAAGTAAAGACAATTGAAATGTGATATGATACAGCTACTCAAAGGCATACATGGGGACACCTGGGTGGCTCAGTCGTTAAGCCTCTGCCTTCAGCTCAGGTCTCAGAACCCTGGGATTGAGCCCCACATCGGGCTCTCTGCTCAGTGGGGAACCTGCTTCTCCCTCTCCCCTACTTGTGTTCCCTCTCTCGCTGTGTCTCCCTGTCAAGTAAATAAATAAAATCTTTAAAAAAAAAAAAAAAAGGTACACATGGATGTTGAAATTGTTTTAGTGTACATGAAGTTGTACTTCCTCCAATCTTAGGTGCCCAGTTGACATATCTCTCTATTCTAAAAAGAACTTGACTCACCATTCTACTTAGTTGTAACACCATAAGATAGATAATGATAACCAGAACAGTGACAAACGATGTACCCCCTATTGCAGGTTGGAAGGCGTTGGATTAGTTAAAGAAATACCAGCAAATCATCTGAAAAGCTGTGGTTACAACTTTGAGAATTAAGTCAATAGCAAAATTAAAGCTGAAATAAACCAGTATATAGGCAGTAGATCAGTAGCCTTCTAGTAAAACCACTCAGTACGTCACAGTATGTAAATGAGAGAGAATGGCTCATGCAGCTTATTTGTAATCATTTCCAAACGGTTAATTAAGAATGTAACATTGCAGTCTTGCATGATGTTTATACCTCCCAAAAGGCATTATGATCTTTAATTAGTACCATTACAGTATACATTTATTAGCAGCTAAGTTTTCAAAATAAATAAGAGTTCAAGTATTCCAATGTTGCTATGAGAAATTAGCCAGCAACATAAAGAATGTTAATTTATCTTTAACATTAAGACTATTTGTGTTTAAAAAAGACAAGAGACAAACATCTTGGAAACTGGTGAACTCATTCTCAGGATGTGGCTGTAGTTTTGCCTTTTTTCCCTCTTCTCTATATCCTCATCTTATATCTTCATTTTAGAAAATCAACAGAGCTGAGTATGTATACATTATAAAAATAAGTATCAAGATGGTATAAGTATATTCCCTGTTTATCTTCAGTCTTCTTTTGGTCTTTATTTACCAGGAAGATCTGTTTTATCTGTTGTGTACTCGAATACAAGCACTTTAATATCATTTTCTTTACCTTAAAAACAATTGCACCTAAGATAAGAATATACACATATCTTTTTGCTTTGCGAATTGGTACCACAATCCAAGGGGTACCTCTTAGTGAAAGAAGTAAAAGATTCCTATTTAAGACTGTGCCAAAGCAAACAAGGGATTGATGCAATTGGTCAGTGAACTTTAAATGAAGACAGCCAATTTTAATAATCCGGGCCACAAATTCCCGTATTTCTTAGTAACCTAACACTTCCTTGAATTGCTCAGGCAATTGTTTAAACTCTCTCTTTCAGTTTGCTTTTGTGGTTTCAGCTGTAATGGTCTGGATCGGATGCCATCTGTAAGCCTGGAGTGTTAATCGTGCATTAGAATCACTCATGTTTCTTTCACAGGTCACTCCAGGCCAGTAGAAAAGCAATGCCTTCAGTCAAAACAGCAAGGCTTATTTGTATACACTGGATGCCTGTCCCTGCTCCAAAATAGATTAGATACATCTGTCCCTACTAAGCCACCTGCTTCTCTCTATTGATGAGAGGGAATGAATCAGAAAGAAAACTATCTTTTAAACAAGCACAAGTGTATCCGCATGCAACTATAGAGTGATATTGGATTCCTCAGAGCAGACAGACCTTTATAGAAGCGTCCTGTATCCATGGTGCATTCATATTGAAATCCTGTGGTCCAGCCGAGAGGCTGGAGAGTGACTTCTTGTCAAATCCATCTTTGGGAAATGAGTATGTTTCTGGCATATCTATGTCCACATCTGAATTAGTTCATCGAGAGCAGTTCAGGAATGTTAATGGCGTTGTTGAAGGGGTGAAAGTCCATTTATTAACACCTCCTTCAGGACAGCAGAGGGAAAAGCATGTGTTGTCATAACTCTTGACAGAAAGATGAGGCAATTCCATTTTACACAACGTTCCTAACCTTATCAACATCTACAATAGAAATAAGAATAACAAATACAATTGAAGTAATTACCTTGTAAGAGAATTAGAGGACAGCTGAACCACATTTTTGTTTCTGCAAAGAAACATAAAATACTCAATGCTATTTCAACTGAACATAACTAAGCACATATTGTGCTTATATAAGGTTTGATTTTACATAATAAAAACATTTTTTTTTGTATTTTCCCTCAAAGGCATAATGATGATAAAACCAAAATTTGCATTTTCAATCATAACAGTTTTCGTTAGAAGTGAGAAGTTAAACAAGATATGCTGCAAGTAGATAGTAAGTTGGGAAAGTCAGTAGCCTCTCAGTAAGTGAATTTTGTCCAGTTCATGCTTGAATGTGATCGTGTGCAGTAATGTCGTACCCTTCTTAACACTTGTTCCTTTGAAGTTAATGATATTTTTAGACTTTTAAATTCTTTGTTACTTTCTCTAAAATGACTTTCTACCCTACCAAATTTAATCTGCACCAAGAAAAAAAATTTTGTTTTGGAAAGTGAAGAAAAAAATGAACATTGAAAGAGTTCAGTTAGAAGTCATAGGTAGATAAATAGATAACCTATAAAAATGAGATAAATTTTAGGAACAATAAAGAAATAAAACACTGGAAACTTCAAGTAGTATTAGTAGCCATGTAATTGAATATTTCTAAAATACAAATTTGAAAAGAAATTGATAGTAAATTATAAAATTAAGCTATGTTTTCTGCATTAGTAGAGATAAATGAATTCTAATTATCTCCAATATAATTAGTATGACTGGATTTCACTGTACAATTATTCAATGAGCAATGGAGTGAGTACAAGCAAGCAAACAACGTATAATGCAAGAAGAGAATTGCATTCCAAATGACTGTTGGTAGATCTCTTGCTTAAGAATAAAAATAGGGGGGCGCCTGGGTGGCTCAGTGGGTTAAAGCCTCTGCCTTCGGCTCAGGTCATGATCTCAGGGTCCTGGGATCGAGCCCCACATCGGGCTCTGCTCAGCAGGAGCCTGCTTCCTCCTCTGTCTCTCTGCCTGCCTCTCTGCCTACTTGTGATCTCTCTGTCAAATAAATAAATAACTCTTTAAAAAAAAAAAAAAGAATAAAAATAGGTCCATTTTCCCCAGGAGAGATCTTTCTAAAACAAGGGTCACATACTGGGATTCCAGGGATGAAACCTTGCTGTAGAAAGATGGTTTTTGTTTCTTTGTACTTTGTTGCTATTGGTCTGGTCTCACAGATTAGACAAGTCACATAAAAACTCAGACTTTTAATTTCTTGAGAAAATCTTGAGATTTAGAAATGAGACATATGGCAGTGGTCATCTGGAGCCCATAAGCTTCTCTTACACATGCTTTTCAGTTGCTCAGCCTCCCCCAGTTCAACCCACAGTTTCCTCTGCATCTCAAGGAGTAGTCGCTGACCCTGTGTGGCCATCCCGCCCCTGGTACCTCTCACCATGGATAGAACAAGAGGCTGATGAGGATACTTTTAGCAATTCCAGTACTTCTGAACAATGAAAACTCCTACAGAGACTTCTTTAAAAGGTAGTTGGGGAGGAAGATCAGCTGGAGGGAGATTTAGATGAGATAAATCAAGGCAAGCATTAAAAAATGAGAACTCTACACCTGAAATAAGTTGAGCATCAACTATACTCAAACAAAAATAAAGAAAGAAATAAAACTGAGAACTCTGTATCTTGGAAAATTCCAATGTGTTGAAGAATGTAGTTTCTAATAAGAAAACACACACATAAAAAATCCTCTCTCCATATGTACAGGGCTCCTTTAATTGGCTCTTTTTCAGTATTTATTTTTAAGGTAGACGGCTATGCTAAGATGCATAAATATACTCCCCCAAAGCCCATCCTTCTTTCCACACATATACAGTCACAAAATAATTACCCCCATATACAATAGGTATAAAAGAAAAATGAAGTGAGGCAACTCCGAAAAATTTTAGAGAGGGAATGTAAAAACAGCAAACAAAAAGTTGTTCCTCTTATTTTTTTTTTTAAATTAAGACATGTCATAAACCACTGCCCTTTATTTTATTTTACATTTTGATAAATTTTAGTTTAGTTCTATAATGAATATTAAGGGAAAGAGATGTTATGGTACCAGAACTGTTTGTTATTGAGTCAAAACATGGACTTTTTTTCCCTTTCAGCTAAAAATTCATCTTGCAACATGTATTCAGAGTTTGAGTGTGGAAACGGAGAGTGTATTGACTATGAGCTCACCTGTGACGGCGTGCCTCACTGTAAAGATAAGTCAGATGAAAAACTGCTCTACTGTGGTAAGTGGCTCATATATGATGTATGTTCTCACTTCAGAGAGAAGTTTGGAATTATTTTCATAGTTTTGGGTTTGATTGTCTCCATTCAGCTCACATGTATGATTTACTTAATGTCACTCATTACCATGTAGGTCTAAAGTAATTAATTTTGGCTTTTTGTTCTTGTTCAAATGGGACTCCCTATGTCCTATTTAGGACTCACGATATTCAGTGAAGAATTTTCTCATGGCTTTCCCTCTACAAAGTGCAAGTTTAAATACAACAGGGGCCTTTATTTAAGCTGTCTTACTTATCATGAAGTGATAGGTTTTAGGTTTACATTCTTAAAAAATGTAAGTCAGAATTATTAGTCATTGCGTATATTGTAAGTTTACCCTGCACAAAAGTCTACTATCAGTCAATAATAGCATGTTATTGAGTTGATATCAAAGTGTTTTCTCTATTCTTGCCTCCAGGATTGGCCTAGGGCTAGTGTCTTTGGGTTCAAAGGCTGATGGCATTAGCCATCCTCCTCATCAAGCATGAATTCCTCTAGTTATGCCTCTGTAGGTGACGCTAAGTGATAACATTAAGTGATAGTCAAACTTTCACTCTCTCAGGGGAGTAGAGATTGGCTTTTTGAGCCCAGTAAGCCACTGATATTAGCCTTCATCACAACAATATTTTTCCTGGAAAGTTGAATATGTGTAATCATTAATAGTTACTGTAGAATTGTTCCAGATTATTTCTAAATTGGTATGACTTATTTTTGTACTATAATATTAGAGTATTGGTATTGTATGCTCTGTAAAATTCAGGAATCTGTACGTGAAATTGCTATATTTGGTTTGTACTTTTCTCCTTTGTTCGATTAGATAATAATTATACCTAAATAATCAAAAAATGATTAAAATAAGAGGAGGGAAGAGTTTGGGAAATTCGCAGGCAGTCCTCTCATTCATTTTGTTCCAGGATCACAGATTTTCAGTTAAAATCATAGATGTAATCTGCCCATAATTGATCTGTAACTAAAACTTTAGTGAATTTACCTCAAATGGCATATTCATTTGAGTGGTTATGCCCTATATGCTATGAAAATATTAAAGGATATAAAAATGTAATAATAATCAGCTTGCAAATTTGCATTGATTATGAATTGTCTTAGGAATATATTTCACATAATTTTTACCTTCTGAGAAGCAAGATAATAGTCACGTGAGCAGGGGTTGGCAATCATTTTCTGCAAAGGGTTAGCTAGTTAAGTATTTTAGGTTTTGTAGGTCAAAAATGCTCTCCATGAAATATCCCTTATTTAAAATAATTTGTTTTGCAACTATTTTAGAATATAAGAGCCATTCTTAGTGTCAGAGCTATACAAAAACAGGCTACTAGGCTGCATTTGGCCTGTGGGCTGTAGTTTTACAACCATAGGTATAGATTCTAGGCTTTGTAATCACACCCGAAGTTAAATCTTTGTTCCTAAACCCACTAGTGTATGACTAGTATGAGCAAGGGTACTTCTCCATATTTTAGTTTTTCACTACAAAACAAACTGAGTTTGAATATTGGCTTAGAGCACTAAATAAACAAATGTATGTTTACATTTGCTCCATATTATAGAGCCAGGCACAAAATTGGTGTTCAGTAAATGACAGCTAGTACCTTCTGCCTGAAATCAGAAAGTGTCAGGAGACTCTCTTTAAGGTAAACAGAATTCAGAAGATAATTGTTCTTCTTCTTAGGAAATTAGGAATTTTTAGATGATTCTTAAGAGAAATTTATGGATATTAGGTAAGCCTCTGATTCACTGGTTCCGGAATACATATTTTGCCACTATTTTTTTTTTTTTCTTGTTCTAAAAGCCTTACGAAATGCAAAGGAGATAGGAGATAGGTGTTGAGAGTGTCTTTGTGACTGTTGAGGTAAAGACTTATTTCTTGAGAGTTGAATATATGTTTATTTCTGTACTGACACACAAATATCAGAAATGATAACATGGGTATAATTTGAAGAGATCTCCAAGTATGAATCACTCAAGTTAAAGCACTTAGTCAAAATGGTCTTTAATGAATGAATTCCTTGATAATTCATGAATATTCTAATCCATAGCTTTGATACTGCACAGTGCTGCTTTTGTAGATCCCCGATCCAATCATTATGAAATGAGAACTCATCTGTGATTTTCTTTTTTGTAAAAATATCTCTGTAAGACCTCCAATGATGTTTCTATTTTTCTTTATAAGAAAACAGAAGCTGTCGACAAGGTTTCAGACCCTGCGACAACCGTCGTTGCATTCCTCACAGCAAGTTATGTGACGGTGAAAATGACTGCGGGGACAATTCTGATGAATTGGACTGTAAAGGTAAATGTATGCGGCATCAGCCTAGGAATATTATGCAAAGTGTTTCCTGAACATTTTCCGTAGTGTATTCCTGAAAGCATCACAGTTAAACCCTTTCAGTATATGGCCCCTGCCGGTACAGATAGAGCATACTTTGTTCATTGCTGTTGGAGGGGAGTTATTGCAGTTCGTTGAAATTATGAGTACAATCTCTATTATGTTTCTGTCCCTTTGCTCACTTCAAAACTCTTGTTATTTCTCACCTCTTCAGTTCTACTGCCATGTTTATTGGACATCGGTACCAGAATATGGAACGGTGAATGTAATGCTGCAAAAATACTCTCCCTCACTTCTCAGTTCTCTGCTTTTCGCATGACCTCATTCTTTTCCTAACAATTGGACAGGAAACCTTGGTGTTATCCTTGATTCCTCTTTCTATTACAGTTTATCACCCACAAGTTCATGTATCAGTAAATCATCCAGTTCTTTGAAATATCTTCCCTTTCAATCTGCCTGGAGCCTAGATAAACAGAATAGTCCTTTAACTGGTCTCCCTGCCTCTACTCTTTCCAGTTAATCGCAAAGTTGTAGTCATACTGTAATGTTTTACTAAATGTGTTCTGAGTGAGTACTGCCACCAATCAGCAAGCCAGATGACTTAGGTCAGAACCTCGACCCCAACGCTGTCTCTGTGTCTCTGGGTAAAATATCTAACCACTCTGTGCCTCAATTTCTCAAGCTGTAAGAAAAGAGGCAATAATTAAATGAGTATATTAATATTAAATAAAATCAGAACAGAACTTGGCATATAGAAAATACTATGTAAGCATTCACCTTGTTTTTTGTTTGTTTCTTTTTGTTTTTGTTTTTTGTTTTTATCATGGCCCTGATAAAGAATTACAAATGGAGTCTTTATATTTGCAGAATAAACAACAAGTTTTTTAGTCTGACATTTAAGGACACTTAAAATCTGGATGCAACAGAGTTTTCTTTTCCTTTCTTTTCTCTTCTTTTCTTAGATTTTATTTCTTTATTAAAGAGAGAGAAAGAATGAGCAGGGGGAAGGGCAGTGGGAGATGAAGAGGCAGACTTCCTGCTGAGCAGGGAGCCTGCTGCTGCTGCTGCTGCTGCTGCTGCTGCTGGATTTGATCCCAGAACCCTGAGATCCTGACCTGAACCAAAGGCAGATACTTAATCGATTGAGCCAGCCAGGTTCCCCCAGACAGATTTTTCTGAACCAATTTCCTTTAAAATTTTTCATTCCCCAACATATTTCATTGGGTAAAATGCATTAAGGATGAGACATAAAATTAATACGTCCTCTGCCTGCCCTTACGAAGTTCAAACTCCAAATAAAAATAGTTAAAGAGACGAAGGTGTATATCAGGTTTTATGATTGCAGATATAAAAACATAAGGTTTGAGGGGAGGGTTGTAATAAAGTATAAATAAGGTAGAATGATCAAAATAGAAGGTGATTCCAAGTAGAGAGACTAACATTGAAAGCTGCAAATACTTTGAAATGTTTAGAGCCAGACTGCATATTGGCAAGTGGTTTAAAAAATAATGAGGCAAGTGAGAGGAAGGAGATAGGACTTGAAGGTGTTTTTTTTTTTTTTTTTTTTTTTTAAGATTTTGTTTATTTATTTGACAGACAGAAATCACAAGTAGGCAGAGAGGCAGGCAGAGAGAGAGGAGGAAGCAGGCTTCCTGCTGAGCAGAAAGCCCTATGCTGGACGCTCCCAGGACCCTGAGATCATGACCTGAGCTGAAGGTAGAGGCTTTAACCCATTGAGCCACCCAGGCGCCCCTGAAGGTGTTTTTTGATGCCATTTTAAGGAACATGAACTTTACCTTGTAGTCACCAAAAAGTTACCTAACAAAGGTCTAAAAGAAACCCAATACAATCAAATTTACATTTCAAAAAAAAGGGGGGGCTATGCTTGTGCAAATGAAAGCTATAATGCCTAGATGAGAAAGGTAAAACAGGAGGCTATCAAAGCAGCCAAAGCTAAGAATAAAAAGAGAGACAGATACAACAGAATTTTAAAAGGTGGCATAATAGGTCTTGTGTAATAAAGATAGAGAAAACATGGAAAAGAATAGACAAGTTTTGTGAACTCTTCCCCCTCTTTTTACATTATTTTTTGTCTTTCATTAATTTTTAAATTTTTTTTTAGGTCTTTTATTCATGTAGGATCAGGGATATGATAATAAAGATGGTTTGCATTCCCACAGTGGAGCACCTGTAGACATTCAGATGGAAATATCCCAGAGACATTTAGATAGATAAAGATCTGGTAGTAGATTTAGAACAGAAGTGTTAATTTTGGACTTAATACAGAGAGAAAGCTCAGAGGAGGTATAGAATAATAGTTGTAGGGGAGTACATCAGAATTACCTACTGAAATAAAAAATTATAGACATTAATAATATAAGAAAAGGAGAAGTGAATCAAAGGACTAATGGAAAGATCTTCATAAGGCATTATTATTATTATTATTATTGAGAAGGGAGGATCAGTTAGCATTTTAATGTGTTAAGGGAAGGCAAGAAGGCTGGTATAGACTAGGCAGTCGTTGAACTTGAAAAATCGGAGATAATCTCTTTGTCACCTTCATGAAAGTCAATTCAGTGGAATGGTAAAGAAAAGCCAGATCTCCTTGAGTTGGTACAGAAAATGGATAGCGAAGAAGTAAATAGAGTGAATAAGTCTATTTTTAGAAAAGACTGGTGGTAAAGGAAATAGTGAAGTACAGATGGCAGGAGAAGGTGATGCAAATTTGTGGAAGAGGACAGAATGTGCACAGACCATTTTGGAGCTAGAAAAGGGCTCAGAAGTTACTCTGCCACCTTAGGCTGTAAGACGTTAGCCAAACACTTGAGTAGCTTACTATCTAAGACTGACACTAGCTTAGGAAGAGCCAAATACTCGTGCAGATTTTAAATCAGCTGTTATTTCATATTAATTATAGAAGATCAAAAAAATGATAAAATATAGTAAGATACTGGGAATAAGCAGAGAAAAATGGATAAGTATTTGGAAGAAAGGAGGAAAGCAAACTAAAAGTAGACCCCCCAAAAGGACATGTTTTATCAGTTATTTGCAAGCAGGAAAGGAGAATATAATAAAGATATTAAACTAGGTTAAAGATAAAAATATCAAGCTAGAATGTGAAGGAACTGAACAAAAGGTACAGAAAGTAGATTTTAAGACAAAAGTCATAAAAGGGTCCATGGGAAGTTAATAAGTTACTGTGGATTTTCTTGAAAAAATGAAAAAAAAATTTCAAAGGTGGTAAATAAATTAGTCAGCGAGTTTGGTTTTATGAAATATAGCACCTCATCAATTCCAGCTGCTGAGTAACAATGAAAATAACTCAAAACATTATTACCTCTTTCTTAGGCTAAACTCTTGATTTCTGTGTTATAGCTATCTTAGCCATATACTTGGGCAAGAACTACTCCATCTGTGAATCAAGTTTCTGTTAAAACTTTTCTTTTGTGATAATAATAGTATAAAAATCATAATAATTGCATACCTTAAAACAACAACAACAACAAAAACTTTGGCCTTGAAGTTCTTCCCATATAATATAGGACATTTGAAACTAAAAGCACTTGTAAGAACTCAAATACACACCTTATTTCTAGAAATGAATAGATTTAAGGAAGTGGACTAGCTCCTTTAGGATAAACAATTGAGTAGGTTTTTAGATAAAAGTTTACTTATTACAGTTGTATCTTTTGGATTTGATTTTTCTCTCATATTACATGTGGTTACATGGTGTCTTTGTAAGTCACATTTCACATGCTAGGGGAAAGACTTCTCTGGGTCCATATCGCATAAGCCAGTCTGTCTTATAATTCAGATGTGTATTTATCCAACAAATGGAACCTTACAGTACTTAAAAGATGATGAAGTTTGAAAAGGAGGAGGAAGGGCTCAGGAACAATGGAAAAGGAGTTCTTGCTCCGCTTCTTTCCTTCTAGATACTTCTCTGTTTCTATCATTGGGGCAACATATGTGTGCAGTGTTTTGTTGTATATATGCGTGCACACATGTGGCACACAGATGTGCACACACACACACACACACCACCTTTTACTTTTTAAGTGTAAATAAAGTAAGACGTGAAGATTTTAAATTAGTACAATAAAAGGTCAATGTATAGAGAGAGTTTGATAGGCTATGGAGAAAGGCGATTGTAGAATCATCTGTAAATTTTTTGAAGTACTGTTACACTTTTATTTCTTTAGTTTAGCTGTTCATTGTAACTAATAGTATCATTACTCTTATCCCACAGGGCAGAATGGAAATGAATGTTCCAAGGAATCAGTTTTGGTTTCTTCTCCTTTTGAAGGGAAGCAAAACCCTAAATTCTTGTAAATCTTTTATTAGTGCCCTGAAAGTGTTACATACCAGGCTATCTGGCGGGGTGGAGGTGGGTAACCTGAAGAGTTGTTTAGAAAGTTTGTCACTCTGATTTCTTCTTGTGTGTGAGAGGCTGGGTGAATCAGTGGGGGAGAATACACGACATCCCTCCTTCTCTTCCTATTGAGGTGGGTCTAATAACTCTCCTTGGGTAGTATATGAGCTTGCCTTGGTCACCTGGACAACTTTAGGTGACTAAAAAGCTAAGTAGTTCTAAGACTACCTGATGGGAAGGAAACTGGTGTTAGTTTTTTTTTTTTTTTTTTCTTTCTTTCTTTTTTCACATGTTCATAGCAACCCTTTGAAGATTCCATAAACAATAAGCTAAGGGAAAAGGATAAGCATTCCTATAGATGAAATCATCATTCCTCTGGGTTTGCATACCCTTAGAGCCTAAGCAGTAAATTAAAGAAAAGATGTTGTTTGAAAGTAAACAGAAGAGAGGAAGAAGACAGCAAATTTAATGTTCTCTTTCTTTCTTCCCCCTGCACCTTTCTTTCTTTCTTTCTTTTTTTTTTTTTTTTTTTTTTTTTTTTTTTTTTTTTTTTTTTTTTTTCCATGTCAGCTGCCCTGTGCTGCAGGCTGGGCAGGGAAGTTGGAAGAGAAAACATAGACTTAAGATATTCATAAGAAATGTCCTGAAAACCACAGAAAGACCAATCAATGTTATATCTTTCCTATCTCATTAAATATTTGAACTGACATGGGATAAAAAAGAAAAAAGTGGATGAAATAGTAAAATTAAGAAAGTATGTGAGGGGAAGAATGGTTTTACTTTTTCTCTTAGTGCTACTTTGATCCACAATCCCTGTCAGATCTTCCTTTGTAGTATCTCATTGCTATTCCTGGGGTGGCTGCAGTATGTTTTCATTCACATTTCGTAGGCTTACTTTACTTTTGGACTATCTGGAGGGAAAAGTCTAGTATTTCTCACTTGGCTTATCTTTATTTGGACTACATTATTTTCTTTTCTCTCTTTTAGGACTTTAGCCTGAGGAAAAATTGTCAGAAAGCTTTCATATTCACTTGACAAATTATTGATTCCAATATATTTCTCCCTCAAAAATCACCCTAAGGGTGAAACAAATTTCAATACTTGATTGACCAAACAAAGTAGGAGGAAATATAGTTGAAGGAGCACAGAGGAAGAGGTTTTGGCAAAAGAGGTATTTGCCTAACTATTTAATAAAGTTCCTGCAATCTCTTGGATCTCTCCCATCCCCCTCTGGTTCCTTGCTTACAGTTGCTGGAGATGTTAATCCCCACAACCATCTTGCCCCTGCTACATGTGAAATTCTGCAACCACTTAGTATGTCCAATTCTAGTACGTCTTAGCACACTACTTAACCCTCTGGTGGTTCTCAAATTCTATACCAAGTCAGGGACCCTGTGAAGAGAGCATTTGAACTAAAAGGATAGTCTTCCTATTTGCACATTGCCTATACTCTAATAGGCCTCCCTGTCCTCCTCACCAAGATTCATTTGCCCAATTTTTCATTGGAACATGGGAGAAAACACATCCTGCAAATATTCTGCTCTCTACCTAGTTCTTCTAACCCCCTACCTCATCATTTCCTCCATATCTTTCTTTTAAATATTATCTCTTAGCCATTCATTTTAACTTCAAAGTTCCCATTTCTTTTCATCTAGTCAGAGTTCTTCGCCTTTCTTTCTTCTTCTCAGACTTCCATCTAAAACTGGGTTCCACTTGCTCCACATCTCTGCTCTTCTCACAAGGTATTCTTTATGTTCACTTTCACCTGAGAGCCCCAGTACAGTTTTTGAAACTCCATTACTGCAATACTGCTAGATCTTCAGCCCTCATAGCTATGTAAGATGCTATCCTCATGTCAGTGATGTCATAATTTGCCTCTTCATCCTATCTGCCACCAATCTCCACTCAGATGGACTCCCTACCATGTACACAGAAGCTGCTCTGTGGACGTTTGGGGAGAGATGGAGATGATGTGGTGAACTGTGATTGTTCCCATCAGAATTCTTCTGGTACCCTTAACCTCTGTGAGTGTAAGATGGAAACTCTAGGGTATTATGACATTACCACTATCTAGAAGACATTACCACTATCTAGGATGTTGTTTCACAGAGAAATGAATCCTGTCTTCTAAATAAAGGGATTATAAGGAATCATGTGGAACACAACTTCTTAATAGGAGATTGCTGACAGACAGCAAAGTAAGAAACAAAATATAAATGCTTGTCATGATTACTTTCTATGTTATGTATTCCATTTACTGTTTCTATTGAAAAAATATTGAATGTAAAATATAATAGAAAGGTATATGGAAGAGATTTTGCTTTTTAGACATAAAAGAAGAATATTTCTTTTTCCTGTTTGGAATAGCGCATTTATCTCTACTCATAATAGCATTATCTGTTTCATATGATAAGATGTTATTTTTAATGAAGAAAACACTGAAGCAATTATAATTGCAAATTGTAAATAAAACACTTACTCTAATCATCATTTAAGCACAAATAAGGATACAATTGCAAGATACAATTAAAAATAATAAGAACAGTGCATTATGAAATACAAATGACATATACACCCTTGAGTAAAATTTGCATATCTTAAGGTAGCATTTTAACTATTTACAATTGATATAATTTCTATTTATAAATAAATAGGCTCTTCAAAATATCAACACTAGTAAAAGTGGCATAGTCAAAGAGCCCTTCAGGTTGTACATTTACATAATCAACCTGTGAAAATTTGAATTTGGAATAAAAATCTCACCTAAGTTAATCTAATGTACATAGCATGACATGCACCTGTTCACAACATATTGCTGGAAACCATTATATGGTAATGAATGTGTGAGCAAAGTAGAAATGAATATATGATTAAGCATAAGCTATTCTGTATAAGGTATATATAATGACAGTAGCATTTTGAAACTGATTTTCCTCTAAGCATAGCAAGGAATTGGAAAGTCAGACTTTCTAACAATAGAGACAAGTCATAGCACATTTATGTTTCTTGGCATGAGGTAGTCATCTTTCCTATACCAAATGTTAGTGATATGGCTGTGTAAAGGAGTATAACATAGCATGGAAGACTTCCTTGCATGGTTGAGCTATTTCCTCTGAGTAATAAAGCAAATGTTCAGCAGTTTCTCCATCTCAGTTTCTGTCTCTGACAGAGGGAATGTTCTACTTGCTTGCAACCAGTTTGGGATTTCCCCATACTTCTTCCATCAGACATTTGCTTAGTACTATAACCTTATACTTTGGAACTTGGAAGGAGGAAGAATTTTCAGCAACACTTGATGTTTTAGTACATTGGCTTAGCGCTACACTGATACTATGATGGGAACCATGCACAATCCCAGCTTTCATGGAGCTTATAACTTAGTGGGGGAGTGGATACATACACAGGCAATTGCAGTAAAGTATTATAAGTACCTCAACAAGGGAAGACATATGAGGCATCTGACCCAAGCCTGGGGGTGTGGGTGGAAGCCATGGGTCAAGTTTGACTTCCCAGAATTAAAAAGGCAAAACCAAACAAAATTACATGAATTAGTTAAAATATAGATCTTCCTCAACTTATAGTGCACGTATGTTCTGGTAAACCCATCCTATGTTGAAAATACTCGAAGTCGAAAATGCATTTACTATACCTAACCTACCAAATGTCGTAGGTAGACTAGCTTATCTTAAATGTGCTCAGAGCACTACCTTAAGCTATAGTTGGGCAAAATTATCTAACACAAAGCCCATTTTATAATAAAGTATCACGTATATCATGTGATTTAGTGACTACTGTACTGAAAGTGAGAAACAGAATGGCGTCTGGGTACAGAACGGTTGTAAGGGTGTTGATTGTTTACCCTCATGATCACAGTGGCTGACTGGGGGCCTTGGCTCACTGTTGCTGACCAGCATCAAAAGGGAGTATCCTGCTGCATATCTCTAGCCCAGGGAAAGATCAAAATACAAAATCTGAATCACAGGTTCCACTGAAACATATGGCTTTCCCACTACCTCAAAGTTGGAAAACTGTGTCAAATCACGGTATGTCAGGGACCGTTGGTACTGAAGATGTTAGAACGGGGAGTCACTTTGGTCTCATCTATCCATTTATTTATTTACCTATTTTCCAGTTTCCACCTGTGCTGCTGTTGAATTCCGTTGTGCCGACGGGACATGCATTCCAAGATCAGCACGATGCAACCAGAACATAGATTGTACAGACGCTTCAGATGAAAAGAACTGCAGTAAGATAATCCACTACCTTTTGTTTGTTCATCCCTGGGTACCTTTGGCATTCCATCTAATACTGCCCGGTGTTCCACTGAACCTTGTCCAGAATTGATATGTAATTAACCCCTGTTGTGTAGGATAATTGCATTCTTACTTCTTCAAATGAGGTTAACTTTGCTTGTTTCTATGACCTGCATAGAAGGCTTGTAATCTTTGCAGATGAGGTATTTTTCATTTCTCTGTTTACCTCTTTGTAGATAATACAGACTGTACACATTTCTATAAACTTGGAGTGAAAACCACAGGGTTTATAAGATGTAATTCGACCTCACTGTGTGTCCTGCCAAGCTGGATATGTGACGGGTCTAATGACTGTGGGGACTACTCAGATGAATTAAAATGCCCAGGTAATTCTAGAAAGAAAAAAACAAACAAACAAACAAACAAAAACCAAAAACTTTGCCTTGAGATTTAGAGGTTCATTGTATAAAATAAATTTATTAAGTTTTAGTCTTGATATCCAGTGATGAGGAGTAAAATTTAAATAATGTAGACTAAATTACAAGCAATCATTCCGTTCCAAACATGTCCCTTGATCTTTTTTAATGAGTTGTGAAATGATACTCAAGAAATCTGTTCTGTATTTGGATCTATTTCCTTTTAATGTTCAGCTCATGAGTAATCCTCTTAGAGTTGGTGATTAAGTCTTAAAATGCATGATTTCTAAAGTTGCCACAAAAGTGTCACACACTGAGAAAAAACTATCCGTGGGCTAAAGGAGAAAGACAATGCTTCTCACCACTGGCTTTACTCAACGTGATACAGCTTTTATTGTCATGTTAGGCTGTTTGGTGAAGTTTTGCAATCTTTCAACAGAGTAGTATGGATAATGACAATTATCACTGAGTCAAGGTGGGAAAGGTATATTTATATCTGACTTTTAACCATCTTTATATACATAAGCTCTGAAAGTGTCATCTGTATTCTTAGCAGAATGCATTCCATTAAAGAGTCATGATCCTGTTCCTTTCTATTTCAGAAAAAAAAAAATTAAATACAGGAAGTAAAGGTGTTAAATTACTCTAACTGGAAATAGGTATGATTTATAGGAAACTATTAAATGTGTCCTCATACTGTAACTCTCTCTCCTTAGCCTGCTGCTACACTCAATTTTTCCATGTTTAGTTGACATATAATAATATTTTGAAATATTTTAAGAAATCATACAGCAATGCACACATATACAATCTACTGTAAAGAACCAATATTCTTAATTCATAATCTATCGCTTAATTAGGCAATAGCAGATTCCTTTGTTTGTTTATTTGTTTGTTTGCTCGACAATGTGTAACATTCTATGATCCCATTTTTGTTCCTTCTGGGTTTGAAAGGCTAGCTGCATCCTAGGAGGAACTGGTGAACTTTTCTGCTTCTGTAGAGAACTTACATATGCACTGGTCACTGTGGCTCACCACAACTCTTCCACGTTTTATTTTTGTCACATAAAACATTTTAAAAGAAATGTAACATTGATTTAGATTTAACATTGATTTAGACTCAAAAAGCCTGGGTGTCTAGATTCTTAATCCATTGTTCTTTCTACAACAATTATGTACCTCATTATAGCTGTAGTTAATTCTTAAAATTAATATGAAAGCAACATATAACAGATACCCATTAAACTTACATATATATAAAACATATTACATACATATGTAAAACTCTGTGATCTTTATATATTTCTAATATTAATAAATTATTTTAAAAGTTAAATTTTAACATTAATAAAGAATTGTGATTACAATGGGAAAGGAAGATGGGGGAGCTCATGTAGACTGATGACATAGGTAGACAGCCAGATAGGAAGCCAGTAATAGTCAGTCTAAGTACCTTAGCTTATATATAGGCTAGTCCTAAGAAAAATAAGACACAAATCACACTCAGGACTTTTGGTTTAGTGGTGAAATCGGTCAAAAATTTTATTTTCATCTTCAATCTACAAAGTTGACATTTGAAAAAATAAAATGGGATTGTTATCCTAATAGAGTTATAATGGGTTATATAGTGTAATTACTATAGTGTGCATGGATTATTACAGTATGACATATGCTGTAAGATTTGCTTCCAAATTGGCTATGGTTTACAAAACTGTGACCTGAAGGTGCAAGGGGACTGAGGACATTCAGTAGAGAAAAATCTAATATTTTTTATGCAGTCTTGGAAGTTATAATAATAACAATTCTTCCCAATCTAAAAATATATAATTTACAAAATAATTTTATATCCAAATACTTATTATTCTCATGCTATTTCTGTAAGGTACAACAGTTTTAGAGATTCTATTATAAGTTGTCTCTTTTTTTGAAGTAGAGAGTGTTTCTATAAACCTAGTCAAAATGTATTCAGAATATAGGACAGTAAGAACACCATGCCCACATGTTCTCAGTAAAAATCCACTAATGTTTTTACAATGTTACTGATTTTTATAAATATGGAATTACAGATATTTTCTACCAAAAATATTTATTTGGCCCTGGGACTAATTCTCTTTATAATTACCTCAGTTATTTTATTTCAGTTCTATTAATAGGATACCACATTATTTGGATTTTAACAAGTTTTTCTATTAGTGCTTTTTTCAGATCCAGGATCCAATCTTGGATTGGGTTTGATTATCATATCTTCCTAGTCTCCTCTGTTCTGTGCCAGTTGTTGTTGTTTGTTTGTTTATTTTTTTAGCTTTTCCTTGGTTTTCATGACCTTGACATTCTTGAAGAGAATGTCAGCTCTCCTTTTGATTTAAGTTTTCTCATTCTTTATTTCTTTCAGTTCAAGGAGAATTACTGTTTTATCGTCTATACTATAGTGTGGAAGTCTAAGATTAATTTAAATTACTTGACATTACATTCTGTATTTTATCACAGTTCAAAACAAACACAAATGTGAAGAAAATTATTTTGGTTGTCCTAGTGGAAGATGCATTTTGAATACCTGGATATGTGATGGGCAGAAAGATTGTGAGGATGGACTTGATGAATTCCATTGTGGTGAGACTTTGTATTTTGTCCTGTGTACCATATTATTCTTTACATGCTGATGTTCTCTTACCTAGGGATTTTATACAAAATATTGCTAATTGATTTTAACAGTGTTCATTTTTAAGTAGCACAAAATGGGACAAATTAAAATAGAACAGAAGAACTTGTAATCGAGAGTAACACTCTCCTGCCTCTGTCTTGCCTTTTAACCTTTTCTGCTTTTGTTACTGGTTATCTTTGTCAGTCTAAATGATAAACCTTCATTTTCTTTCTGAGTAATGAAACCCTAATACATTTACTTTCTGCAATGAAAAATAAGGATTTAGCTCACACTGCTCATTATATTCTCCCTACCTGTTATTGACTACTATTATTCGAAATGTTTCTATTAATTACATGTATAGCTTTAAATAGCACTTAAACGTGTATTTCCTCAAACTCTCATCTTTCGCCACTACCTCCTAATTTCTGTGTGTGTACGTTTCATCTAACTTGGCAAGTCAAGACAGCATTTTTAAAATTTTATTTTATAGGGACGCCTGGGTGGCTCAGTGGGTTAAAGCCTCTGCCTTCAGCTCAGGTCATGATCCCAGGGTCCTGGGATAGAGCCCCACATCGGGCTCTCTGCTCAGCGGGGAGCCTGCTTCCCCCTCTCTCTCTGCCTGCCTCTCTGCCTGCCTCTCTGCCTACTTGGGATCTCTGTCAAATAAATAAATAAAATCTTTAAAAAAAATAAATAAAATAAAATTTTATTTTATAGAATTTATGGATTTTATGATTTCTAGGCCAAAGAAATTTCCTACAGGAAAACAAAGCCTATATTCACTATTTTCATTTAACACAAATAACATACACTCTGGTGAATAGACAAAGTAGAAAAAAGATTAAAAATGGATCTTCTATGAAATGTCAAACTCCTCTAAAAGTAAATGTCGTCATGAAATATGAAGGTGCATTTTGTTTGATTAAGATGCTATATATCTTGACATTAGAGCCAGATTGTGAACAGGATTAACAGAAAATTTTACAAATAGTTTATGCAGATTCTTAGTTTCTGGACAAGAAGCCATTATATGTTTGTATTTTTGTTAGTTTCATTTTTTCCAGTTTTCAGTTTTTCCACATTTCTCTCTTTATCACAGGTCACCTAAGTGAATATTTTAAATAAAGATGCAAGACTTTAACATAGTTTATATGATTGAAAGTGAAGTGTTTATTTTTTTTTTATAATTTACATTTGGAACACTTGAATTTGGAAGGATTTTATTTTGGATGTTGCCTGGTGATAGATATACTGAGTGGAGGGACAGGCAGAAGGTGGAGGAGAACAATCACAAATTTGACTTTGGAATTAAAGAGAATACACTATGATAAGTGTATAATGTAGTAATAGAATACAAACCACCACGCCAATAAATTTAGATGTTGTTCATCAGACTTAAGTGTCCCCAAGAGAAGTAAAAACCTCTTAAGTGTTTAGTTTGTATGCGTGTGAAACTGGTGGCTTGTCATCAAGCCAAAATCCCCTTAATCACCTCATCGCTAAAAACAAATATATACGCTGGTGAATATATCATATTATAATCTTACCTAGGATGCATTTTTTTCTCTAGTTGTTCAAAAGTCAATTAAGATTTCGAAGGGATGACCAGACCACACTTGGAACATTTGTTTTTTATCTGTCCACTAGATATTGTGTTTTTTTTTGTTGTTGTTTGTTTGTTTGTTTGTTTGTTTTGTTTTTAAATGACACCCTAGAAAATACTTAGGGGAGAGTGGCTAGTATAATGAGTAGCTCAAAGTCAAGCCCTGTGAGAATTCTGTGGGAAGAAAAATGTTACATAACCTGGACACTGAGAGGGAATACACAGACTGTTGTCAAAATTTTATAGAGCTGTCATAGAGAAGAGGAATTCGGGTTGTTTTATTATAGAACAGTTTATTTTAGCAAAGTCTAAGGAAGGACTTTCTTACTGTCAGACCTATCCTAAGATGGTCTCAAATGATTTTTTTTTTCTTTTGCACCTAAAGCAAACACTTTTGTCTTCTAGATTCTTCTTGTTCTTGGAACCAATTTGCTTGTTCTGCACAAAAATGCATATCTAAACATTGGATCTGTGATGGAGAGGATGATTGCGGGGATGGATTAGATGAAAGTGATAGCATTTGTGGTGAGTTGGTTCTTCTATGTTCTCATATATTTTTAGGCATATGATATACATACCCATTATCATTTTAGAGCATACATAAAACTGTTAAATTTAACATTAAATTTATATATACATTTCTGTGTAGCTGGTTTCATATTTTAATGGCAACCTATTATTCTATTATTTTTATATACATGGTCTTTCAGTTTTTAAGATATTTTCCTGAATATTCACACAATGAATATATTTGTAACTTTTATTTTTTTAGTTTTCATGTACTTCTTTGGATTAGATCTCAATGACTGGGATTACTTACATCAAATGATCAAACATTTTTTCTTGGTCTTTGACATGCATTCCTAAATTACCCTCCAAAATATACTGATTTACATTGCCACAAACCACAAATGCTATTTGTGTTTGTATAAATGTATTATAGTGATTATTATTATTGAATTATTATAAATGGGAAGTAAAAAGGGGGCTATTGTATATAATTTTAAAATGTACTTCAAAAAACAGCTTTATAAGATTAGAGGTTGAGTGTCCTACTATATATCAACTACAAAGCCAATGTAATTGCTTTTAAATAATCACAAACATTTAACAAATAAATTAAATGGAGTTATTAAGTTAATTTTTAAGGGATAAAAGAAGGAATTGATAATCTTTATGAGTTTATTACAAATAACCAGCATTCTACTAATGTATTTATATGCTTCTTGGTCTATCTTTCTGATCTATTTCTACATGTATATTATTTATAGGCATAAAACCTTTACTCATTATATCAGCACCATTTCATAACTGTTATTATCCTATTTTCTCTCTTTTCTCTCTAAATAAGGTGCATGTACAGAGTTAAGTGTACTTGACACCACTTTTAAAATTTTGGTAGTGGTGGCCTGTTTTAGGTCAATACCACAGAGACAGGTAGGTAGGATTTTATACTACTCAAGCTAAACTGAAGTTCTCTGTAAATAGTATAAAATTAAAGCTGTCTTCTGAAAGCAGGTAATTTATTTTCTTGTATTTAAGCCACCCAAATCTACTTATTATTTACACAGCTGAAACAACTTATTTATACAACAAATAAATATAGAAAGATCACTGTCAAAAAACTCTGAAAGGAAAAAGAACTCAGTAATCAACTAAATGTCTGGCCAGTCACTTTTAACTACTTTGTTTCTTTCTGAAGAGAAAGATTTAATAATCTTTCTTTAATTTTAACAAAAGAATTACCTACTTACAATGGGTTGAGCCTGTTGCCAGTCTTTAAAATCATCTAGCTTTTTGACCTTCTGTTTAACCCGACACTAAATGGCTCAATTGATATCCCTTTCCTTTCTGAGTGGACACAATATAGTAGAAGGTATAAAGACTCTGAAACCAGAGTTCAATTCTCCCACATCTATATTTTCCTTACCTATTGGGATGGTATTAAAAGATCTCCCTTATGTAACTATTGTGATCATCTAACATGACCGTTGTATACAATATAAATGAATTTATTTCTATTCTCTTTTGTTCCATTTCTCGTGCTCTCTCCTTTATTTTTCAGAGTTATTGCTGCATCTACATCTATCAGTGTCCTGATAATTTTTAAAAGAACTAAAATGGTAATGGACATGTTTACCTGTTGTCAAAAACAGCCAGTCCATTTAATTTAATTACAGGCTGCATTTCATATGCTAACTACCAAGCTGGTGACACATAAAAAAAGACTGCTTTACACCAAATATCATTCAATGAACTGAACCTAATATACTAGGATTGGGAAGGAATTTTATAAATAATTTATCTCAGTGTTTATCATCTTTAGTGCACAAAAGATACTTTTCAGAAGTTTGCTAAAAATGAAGATTCCTAAGCCTTACCTACAAATATTCTAATATGAACTGTAAGTACAACCTTTCTTAATAAGCACAATAGTGGTTCCGACTTGGGATCTGAGGGTCCCATTTTGGAAATTATAATCTAGTACACCCTCATCATTTGACAGATGAAATAAAAGAAACTCATAGAAGTTAATAAATTGCCTGAGATCACTCAGTGAATCAGTGATGACAGAGCTAAGACCCGAATTCAGATTTATTAAATCCTTTCTAATGGGATAGTAACTCTTACCAATCAAATATCATATCTGAGTAGGTGCACAAGACGGATCTGGTAGAAATATTTCAGCTTGTTTTCTTCCTTTCTTGGGATTCATTTCCCTGAGGAAGTTAATGTGTTTCCAGATGGCAGGGGTAACCATGGAATGAAGCCATTAGTTTTTTCTTTGGCCCCTTTTCTTTCTGATTGACTGTGATGTTTTGGCATGCTCTTAATACAGAAGCTGTTGAACACTATCAAGGGAGCCAGAAAATTAGCTGCAAAGAGCTTTATGCCATTTTATAGCTTGAGGTATCTTAGTAATTATCTAGTCATACCCCTCATTTTATAAATAGTGAAACTCAGACACTTAAGTCTTCTCCAAGGTCATACAGAATTAAGTTTCTCAACAGCCAAATTGATATTATATCTATTATGTCTACCTTGAGATTAAATGGGGACGATAAAAAAAAAAAACACTAGACAAGGAGGTCTACATGTATCAAAACTTCCTTACTACAGAGAATGCACTTTTTAAAAATCTCAAGCTAAATAACAAAAATATTATGGAAATTAAAGCACTATTTGAGAGTATAATAGTGAAAGTGACAGTTTATATTCTTGTGGCAAGCTTAAAAAGATAGATCATAATGAGGAATAGTATAAAAATAAATTTTGTAGGAAGATGATTTTATTATAGAAGATATTAAAGACATAATAGCAGGTAAATTCATTTTTAAATGAAAGCAATACTTATTTAATAGATTTTTTTATTATTTCTTCCAGTAATAGGTATCATATTAAACCCCATTCTATTAGCACTGATCCTCAATCAAATGAGCAAATCTGAATTACCTGGAGGACTTTTCTCTATTCACTTGCCATCCTGTCCTCCAAGCTAAAGTATATGTCAAGGACAGTCATGTTTATGATGGAAAAAATCCTCAGAGTGTTTTATTTTAGCACCTTGCTCCCCCCATTTGAAAGCATTGCATTGAAAAGCATGATCTGCTCATAACAACTCCATAGCTGAAAAGAAAGGTGATAATCGTTCTATAATTAAAGCATTTTGGTCACTGTTTTAAATGTTTGAAACCTAATATTTCTCATTCTATTCAGTTATATTTTCTTCCTGTAGATATTAGCATTTAAAAAAATAATTCTAAAAATTAGCATCTATTCTATGGATAGCTTTTGCTCACAGGAAAATGGAGTTAAAGAAAAGTTAGAACATGATTTGAGGGATATCTAACTGATTCACTCAACAAATATTTTATATAAGTAAATAAAGAATTCAATATGTATAACTGTACTAGATGCTAGGAAAACATCATGAGAAATAATTATGTTCTATTTCATATGATTGGTCTATACCCATATAAGGTGAAACAAAGAAATCACCTATGATCCTTTGAGCATATAGTCAAAGTCAGCAAGCATTTTTTTTCTGTGTACGTTTGAAAAAAATCATGCATCTAAAGGGACATTGATTTGACAGAGCAGAGAAAAAGTAGATTTTATTTATTAAGTGTGTAAAAACAAAAGGAACATGCATACATTAATTCTTTTCAACAACACAAGGTAGAGAGTAACAGTCATGACATTAGCGGTCGAGAGAAGGTGCTCAGCAATCAGAAGGGTTTTGAACTCCCAGCTGAAAATGTGTCATCCAGCACAACTTGTGATGTTCTGAAAGCTTTTCCACTTCTCTGAGCCTCAGTTTCCTTCCAGTGAAATGAGACCAATAATAGTTCTACTGGTTGGAATTCTTGCAAGAATTAAATGAGTTAATATATTAAGTGCCTAGCATATGTTGAGCAATAAAAACAATATTATTATTATTATTATTATTATCCTTATGGGTTCAGTCTTTTAGAAATTTTATCATAGTTTATTCACAATTCTATAGCATTTGTATGCCTTGCTACACTTTGTAGGGAGAAAAGACCTTTATTATTTTCTGCAATGTAGCCTTAAGAAATAAAATACTTGCACTTAGGAAGGCATGATTTCTGAGAGGAACTGTATAAATATCTATAGGAGAAGGATACTATGTGATGATTTCAAATAGCAACAGTCTCTTCCTTGTCAGCAACATTCTTCTGTTTACTTTCTTTCTAAGGTAAACAGAAATGTTAGATCTTTCCCAGAAGACATGCAGTGATCTTAATGGCATTCTCTCGTTGGCTTTCAGGTGCTACCACCTGCGCGGTCGACATGTTCAGCTGCCAGGGATCCCATGCCTGTGTGCCGCGACACTGGCTTTGTGACGGTGAAAGGGACTGTCCAAATGGAAGTGATGAGCTCTCCACAGCTGGCTGCGGTAGGACACTGTAGGGCTCTGTGTGAAGGAAAGCTGACACAGTTTCCTCAGACTCTTCCTTTCACAGTACTCACCATATCACATTTTCTCTCACTTTCCCAATCCCTGGACTTGTAAAATAGTACCCAGACTTAATCACGTGGGATGTTGTCATCTTGGTAGTTCAGCGATCCCTCTAACCAACTGCTGTTCAGTTTTTCAAACATGCAGAGTGAGACCACCCATTTTAAAACCCTTCTGATGAACACAGATTCATTATTTCACTTCTGAGATTATGTAGCTGCTTGATGTATGTGTGTGACTGTGGTAGATTTGTTATTTTCTTTTTAGACCCCCACCGCCACCCCCACAAAGGCTTTTAGATTGCCTATTACAGACACTCTATAAATGGCTGATGTGATCCCAAATAACCACTGATCAGAAAGTCAGTAAACACCTGTTAGTCCTATGGAGAGGGTATTAACCCTTAGGTCAGGTAAAAATAGTATGGATATAGCTGAATGAAGCTAGGATATCTGGTGGACACCTTTGGAGGTCAGATGATTTATTAAGTTTCTGACTCTTGGTCACCTCAGAAAGTTTTCACCGAATTGCTCAATAGTAAAAATTTAGATAAATTTCCTTTGCATGATCAAGAAAATGAAGGAGCTGAATATTTGAATGCAGGTCCCAAGGTCACTTAGGGTATCTGTTGAGGGGAGCAATTTATCAGAAACAGTGCTATGAATTCTCATTAAAGTGAATTCTGCCAGTCATATCTCCAATGACCTGTCTTCAGGTCTTTAAAACTGTATTTGAAGCCATAATGGAGGTGTATGTGTATGCGGGTATGTATATGGGAGTTGGGGCATAGTTAACATGGAGGAGAAAAAGGAAAACTTTGAGGCAGGCCTATGCGCACAGAACTTATGCTAGAGTAGAATAATTCAATTTGATCTTGAAACTGATATATGTGTCTGTAAAGGTCAATGGGGCTACTGAGGGCTACATAATAAAGGATTATGCATCAATTCAGGGATCCAGATGGTCCCAGTATACTGTTGCTATTGTAGCAAGTTAACATTCTGGGAGGCATATTAGCACTATTGGACCACATGGGTGCTATTAAGTAAATTATGCTAAAATACAACAAATTGTACTCAAGTGACCTGAAAGCGTTAATGCCAAATAAGCCTCTGTTGCTTGTGTTTTAAAAAATAATTCATCTGTTAGAACTGGCATAATTCACTTTGAGTTATGTAAGCTGTCATACAGTTCAAAGTTAGAGGAATTAGTAGTAACTGCATTTTACTTTGATAATCATGGGCAGTTTTTAAAGCTCTTCCTACATGGCTTCCACATCATTTTTGAAAATAATTTTGTTGAAAATAAATTATACTTGATTAAATCCAAAGAATCATTTCTGTTTTGCTTACTCATGTCTCCATTCTTGTCATTGCTGACTTTAAAGCAGAGATTTCCTTTTTGGAATGTGGGGAAGGCTGGGGCTAGGGAGATGATAGACTTTTTTTTGTTTGTTTGTTTTGTTTTTTTAATTTCTTTCTTAAATTTTTTCTCAGTGTTCCAGAATAATTGTTTATGCACCACACCCAGTGCTCCATGTAATACATGCCCTCCATAATACCCAACACCAGGCTCACCCAACCTCCCACCCCTCTCCCCTCCAAAACCCTCAGATTGCTTCTCAGAGTCCACAGTTTCTCATGGTTCATCTCCCCCTCCAATTTCCCCCAACTCCCTTCTCTTCTCCATCTCCCCATGTCCTCCATGTTCTTCCTTATGCTCCACAAATAGGTGAAACCATATAATAATTGACTCTTTCTGCTTGATTTATTTCACTCAGCATAATCTCCTCCAGTCCCATCCATGTTGATACAAAAGTTGGGTATTCATCCTTTCTGATGGAGGCATAATACTCCACAGTATATATGGACCGTATCTTCCTTAGCTGAGAGACTTGTAAAAAAAAAAATCATTATCCTCTAAGTGTCAGAACAAAGAATAGAAAAGATACTGGGTCATCACAAAGAAATAATATATAAAAAAGAGTAGAAGTGTCATGGAAGGATTTCAAGAAACAGTAGTAACATCTGAGTCATACTGAACAAAGAGAAGAAAGAGAAAGGTGTTCTAGGTAAAGGGAAGTCCATAGTAAGACATTGAAGGGGGAGGTTGAAGGCCTGTAAATTTTTTCAAGTGTCCATTATATGCCAATTATTTTGGTAGGTGCTTTTATTTACATTATTGAATCCCTCCAGTATCTCGGTGAAATGTTTTTAGGATCTGCCAAAAATAATTGTTACACAGATAGGAATTTAAACAATACCTAGGAATTTATTGAGTACCTGAAATGAGCTGATCTGCTTCAAATATCCCGTTCTTCCAAGAAATTTCTCTGATAGATTTTATTATCCCATTAAATGGATAAAGAAACATGCAACAAGAAGGTAAATACCTTCCTCCAGATACAAATCATAAATAGCAAAGTGACTTTTTGCAAAATCTTCCTCTTTCTGGTGTACTATAATGGCATATATCAGATTATTTTTTATTTTACTTAAAAATGAGATGTAATTGATGTATAACATTGTATTAGTTTTAGGTGTACAACATAATGATGTTATATGTAATATTATGCAGTGATTACCACAGTAAGTTTAGTTACCATCTATTATATAGCAGATTATTTTTACATTAGAAATATCTCAAATCTTGAGTCCTAACAGAACATTTATCCTTTAAATATAAAACAAGGTAATTGAAAATATTTAAAAATGATCTCCTCAAACCATTATTGATTCTATGCATATTAAAGTTTATTCACTCTGCATAAGTTACCAGCTTCTGAACTTTTGCTGAAAGCAATTGTACTTTTTGGTCAAACACTTTCCAACTTGCTTAGGATCCTTGCTACAGCACTACTGTCATGGATCAGGATTCCAAAAGAATGGATATTCCATTTTGTGCATAGGTATTTAGAATTTTATGTGATACTTAATGCTTGGGCTTATCACATCATAGATCTTAATTTAACCCAAAAGCTTTATTTTCATTTTAGAGGTAATAACCTTCTTAGCTTTTTTGATGTTTTCTTTTCACTTCCATCATGACCATTATTAGCACTTGGTAGTCTTTTCAGTTTCAGTTTTCACAAAGAAGCAAGGTGGGTTTTTTTGTTTGTTTGTTTGTTTGTTTTTAATCACTTTACTGGTATTACTACAGACATGAAGAGAGGAAAAAACCCAGCCACATTATTACAGTTGAGTGATTTTTTTTTTTTTAAATCATGTACGAACCTTTGAATTCATCCTTCAGCAAACTGACAAATTGCTAAGTGGCCTGAAATTTCAGGGTCACTATGGAATTGTTGAATGTATTACTACTGAAACTTTGAATTACATTCATATATTTCATATATAAATATATGTATGTTAACATATATTATGAATTTATATATATGGTCATATATATTATGAATGGAATATTGGGCAAACTTTTCTTTCTCTAAATAACTATAAATTATTGAGAATAACAACATACATCCCCTAATCTCTTCAGGTGGGGGGAGATAAAATAGGTACTCATCTAACTTTATTCTTTTTGATATTTTTCTTAGCCCCCAATAATACATGTGATGAAAATGCTTTCATGTGTCATAATAAAGTGTGCATCCCCAAGCAATTTGTCTGTGACCATGATGATGACTGTGGAGATGGCTCTGATGAGTCACTGCAGTGTGGTAAGTATATACGGACTTTTCATGGAAGAGATTCTCAGGCCGAGTAGTGGTCTTTTAAGATAACTCAAGAAATATAGAAATAGGGATGCCTGGGTGGCTTAGCCAGTTAAGCATCAGGCTCTCTGCTCAGGGAGAGTCTGCTTCTCATTCTCACTCTCCCTCTGTTCTCTCTCTCTCTCACTCTCTCAAATAAATAAATAAATAAAATCTTTAAAAAAAAGAAATATAGAAATAAATGATGAAGATAACTCATAATGTCATTAAGGGCATGTTAACGTACTTATTCATAGAAGTATCACAATAACCTCTTTACATTCTAGCATAGTTACACATTGATTTGGAGAGCATGCCTACTTGTGGTATGTTCTTATTAGGAACCACATGGGGAAATGGTTAGAAAAATATCTTTGATTGAAACTACTTTAAACTTTAAAGACTATATATGGCTACCTAGTTCATTCTTTTAGCCAAATCAAATATTTGAGGAAAAAAGTTAAGAGAATTCACAATTATCAGAGAAACTGCATATTTAACATTTTTCTTTCACCTTAATGGTTTACATGTGCACTTATTTGCTAAAAATTAAGTTTTATTATGATGAAATGTGTATCTTGTCATTGCATATATATTTATCTGACCATCACCTATGTAATGTATATGTAAATACATATGTAACTTTTGTAGTGAAAATCATTAAAAATTCCTCATTGAAATTGAAGTCTTACATGAACCTAGTATTTTTTGTTAAAAAACCTCAAAATCCTTAAATGCATACATGAATAAATATAAAATGAAAAGTCATAAAATCCATATATAATTATAAAAGGCAGTCGATTTAGTGCCCTCTGTTGTCCTCCCTGTGTTGTGTCTACAGCCTTGGTCTTTGATAGTAATCTCTTTTGAAATCAGTGGCTACCAGTTTTTATGCTCATCTCACCATAAAGTCATGGATTCAGTGTGATATTTTACAAAGTACATCATAACTCAAGATGTAAATCTGAAGTAGAGTTATGTCTGATTGAATATCTTCCCTCTGCTAGACACTTATTCAGTTGATATGGAGATGAATGAGATAGAGATCCCACTAGAAGAATTTGCAGACAAACAGGAAAATCAAATAGAATAATAGCACACATTGTCAGATGGGACTAAGAATCACAATAGATGGGATCAGAGCTGAGAGAATAATTTTTGAAGCACTAAAGAACAGAAGTAGGGAATGTTAAAGAAAGTCATATTTAGATGGTAGATAAAATGACACAATGGTTAAAAGCACAGACCCTGGAGGCAGATGGCCTGGGTTTAGATCCTGGCTCTGCTGCTTACTATCTGTGTGACCTTTGAAGTTATTTCACCTTTCTGTCCCTAAATTCCTCATCTGTAAAAAAATATATAGTAACATTTTAACTCTTAGAGCTGTTAAGAGAATTAAATGAATTAATATTTGTGAAGTGCTTAGAATAGTTCTGGACACATAGAAAGTTCTATGTATGTCTACAAATGCCTACAAATTCACATCAGTGAAGAATAGCAATTTGTCTTTTGTGAGGTAAATTGAAATTAGAAAGTTGAAACTGGATTCTAAAAAGTCTGAAATACAGTGTAAAGAATTTGTAGTTAATTATTTTAGCTCTCAGTTGCCAACACACCTTTGAAACTGAGAATGCCACAGTCAAAATATGTTTCAGACCCATCTTTTTCAGCAGAGTGGATGAAATATTGCCCTGGGCGAGGGGAGCCATTAGGTGAAAATAAGCTAGATAAAAGATTATTGCAATAGTTATGATGATTAATGAGGTGATGGGAAGCCAGGGCAGAAATGTTGGAATGGAAAGAACAGAATGGGTCAGAATTCATTTACAGTCAGATGTGGAGGATAAAGGAAAATTTCCAGGTTGGATCACTTGGTGGATGGTGTTACCATCATTAATGAGATTTGGAACATGGGAGGTTAAGGGCCACGTTTTGCTGGTGTAGGAGAAGAGAAATTTTAAAAAGAATTAATTTTGGATGTTTTGAATATTAGTGTTAATCAGACAATCAACATGAAGCTATACGGTGAGTGTTTGAAAATTTAATTCTAGAGACCAGAAGTATGATCAGGACAAATAAGATTAATTTGGTGACCATAGGCATAAAGGTGATATTCAAAAATGACAACAAGGAGAACACCTAACACTGTAGAAAGGAAAAGAGGAGAACAATAGGCTGAAGATTGAAGTTGGGGCTTCACCCACAATATTTTAGGATGAAACAGGAGATGCCTTCTTCATACAGAAGGAAGGATACAAGAGAACAACAGAAACAAAATAAGACAGATGCCATGGGAGTGGGTTGTAAAAATTAAACCAGGCAGTTATTTACAAGCTAGTGGGCTCAACAACATCAAATGCTACAGGAAAGTGAAATAGGAGTCCGAGGCTCCTTTGAATTTGATGCTTGTCACTTGGTATTTGTTAGCTCTGAGAGGAATTTCAGAAGGTAGAAGTTGTAGAAATGGATGTGAATGATTTGAGGATGAACTGGAGATAAATAAGGGAATGCTGGGTAGGGTTGTATGGAAGAAGAATCATGTGTAGTTAAGAGTTATGTGGATGGTTTTTTGTTTTCTTTCTAAAGATTTTTATTTATTAGAGAGAGAGTGAGTGAGAGACAGAGAGAGAGAGAGAGAGAGGAGGCACATGAGCAGGGGTAAGGGAGGAGTGAGTGAGAGAATCCTTAAGCAGACTTTCCCTGCTGAGCATGGAGCCCTACTCGGGTGGGCGAGGGGGGCCGAGAGGTGTTTGCTACAGAATCCTGAGTTCATGAGTTGAGCCAAAATCAAGAATAGGCAGCTTAACTGACTGAGCTACCCAGGCGCCCCAGATGGATTTTTATTGTTACTGGGCTGGGAGAAACTTGAATGTAATGTACCTGTTGACTGAGAATGAACTAGCGAAGGGCAGAGAGGAAGAAAGACTGGCGAAACTGTAGGTACTTTAGAACTTTGTAGTTTTGCTATTCAGTATGATAAAAATCTCAATTTTATAATCATTGTTGAATTATTTTTATTGGAATTTTATTTAATTAACATGCAGATCTTATTCCCTCTCTTCAAAAGTAGAATATTTACCAGATTTACCCGAAAGTTTCTAATAGAAATGACAGTTTTACTGTTAACAAACTTAGCAAAAATTCAATCTAAAACTCATAATAGTCAAAATCAAATGAGTTTTACTTACAAACAGGCATAGATATGAGCATTGAAAATTGACGGGTTGGTACTGTGATTTGAATAAAGCTTTTTAATGCCTCTAAGTATCAATCCATATGATAATTATAATAATTCTGTGCTTATTGCTTTATAAATTGGCTTTTTTTTTTTCATTTTAACAATGTCTTTACGCTTTCAATGCTGCTTCCAAACATAAACATGGCATTACAGCTTCTGAGAATTATCATTATAACTTGCAATCACTTCATCCATATGTTCTGCTACTATACCTAACCAAGCTTAGTCTTGAAAAACATTAAGAGCTTTATTCTTGTTTTCTTTTTTTTTTTTTTAATTTATTTATTTATTTATTTGACAGAGAGATAGCACAAGTAGGCAGAGAGGCAAGCAGAGGGAGAGGGAGCCTGATGTGGGACTTGATCCCAGTACCCTGAGATCATGACCTGAGCCGAAGGCAGCTGCTTAAGGGACTGAGCCACCCAGGTGCCCTGCTTTATTTTTGTTTTCTATTCAAAGGGAATTCTTTAGGATATAGATAATAGGGAACAGAGATAGTATCCTTGAGTATTGCATTTTGTTTCCTCTTCCAGAAGCAATAAGATTGCCTTGTTTTTTATTTTATTTCCTAGGCCTTAATCCTACTTCTCAACCACAAATATTTCTTGCAAGTATGACCACTGTCCCTAAAAGGAATAAGAAACATTTCCTGTAGGAGACATGGGTAACTCCCATTGTTAATTAGGTATAGTGAATGTTAGGGAATGCAGATTTAATATTTGTTATATGAATTAGAATGTTTATTTCTTTGTCTCTAGGATACCGACAGTGCAATGCAGAAGAATTTAGTTGTGCTGATGGACGATGTCTCTTAAATACTCAATGGCAGTGTGATGGAGACTTTGATTGCCCTGATCATTCTGATGAAGCACCTTTAAATCCAAAGTGCAAAAGTGCAGGTACAAAAAATATATAATATTATACTTATTCCCAAATTGGTTTTCAATGACAAAACTGTGACTCTGATTTTCACTTTAGTCTAGTATGATATTCAATGGAAAGAAATGCAAATAATTAAGCGTGTGATGTTACAAGTGACACCATAAAAGATCCTAGTAATCAACTCTGTTTTGCAGCAAGTTTTAGAAATTTAAATCTGTGCTAAAATATGAAGATTTTGGGCAGTGAACCTAATGAATCCATCATCTTGACCCCTTCAAAAAAGTCATTTTTTCTTAATACTTAATTTTATGTGAAAATAATTTCTTTATATGGACCTATTTGAAAACTCAAACAAAATAAGTTGAGATTTACTGAGAGAAAGTCTATATCAGTAATACTTGGGCAAAATGAAGTATATTGCATATCATTTGAACAGAAACATATACATACCTAAAATTGGCCTATTTATCATTTCACTATTCTAGAGACTGAATACATAGTCATATATTTAAAAATAAACCTAATTACCTTTCTCTCATGTACTTTACATGCTAATAGGCTTTCTTTTATCATGTATGATAATGAGTAATGTTCAAGTCATCAGGTTATGAGTAGCTGCAAAACCTAAACTCCTTTTCCATAGCTATATTTGGAACAACTATTATTCACCACAAATGTCCTTTTTATGCCCTGACTTAAAAATGTCAATGTTATATTTCCAAGAAGAAAAAGAATTTAGGAATATCTACCTATTCTAGATTCTTAATTTTTAGTGACATATAATTTCTCAGAGACCTATGGCTTGAGGGAAATGTCAAACTATCATTATACTTTTGAATTAATTCTTCACAATATAGATGAAGACAGAAATACTTAATTAATTTTACTATAGGTGCTTATTTTGGTTGCTAATTTTAATGGCAAAGGAAGATTTTCAGTAAGCATTGAACATGAAAGTACAGTTTGCCTTTGATTTTTTTTATATTTTATGTATAAAATATTACACTACAGAGGATTTTATATGTATATATATATATTCACTATAATTTTTGACAGATAAGTCATCACATTAGTGAATGTTTTCAGCAATTGTAGTATAAAGCAATGGCATGCCCTTTATGTTCCATTTGTTTTATTTTTTTTTTTCCAGAACAGTCATGCAACAGTTCATTTTTTATGTGCAAAAATGGCAGGTGCATTCCCATTGGAGGTCTTTGTGACAATAAAGATGACTGTGGCGATGGCTCAGATGAGAGAAACTGCCATATAAATGAATGCTTGAGTAAGAAAGTCAGTGGATGTTCTCAAGATTGTCAGGACCTTCCAGTCAGTTACAAGGTAGGTACTCATCAAAAATAGTAAATCACATGATACATTGGATTTGTGATAATGAATACCATTCAGTCAGATACGGCTATAATACTTAGAATGCATCATGATGTCTTTAAGTAAAACTACTTAAATAAAAAGTATCTATACAAGCAATTCATAATAATAATGTGATATAAAAACTGTAAAAATGTACTCAGAAAGACAAAAAATGTCAGTGTTTTTCAATATATGCTAAATATAAAAAAGAAAATAAAGCAAGGGAAAACCAGTGTTTAGGGAGATAGTGCCATGTTAATAGCACACAAATATGTATGCAACTCTTAAGTTCCCATTCCTTCCCTCATTCTTCCTCCCATCTTTGAAGTGAAATGGGCTAATTATTTATTTACCACAACACTGGATAATATGATATTATTCATATAAACAGGAAGAAAAAATAGAATTCATCAATTATTAGGACTGAGTGCAGGTACACTAAAAATAAATCATGCCTAATATCCTAATTGCTTTTTGTTAGCACAATTTCCTGAAGAGTGTGATTCACTGACAAAATTGATTGACAGGAATAGCTTTTGAAAGCATTCCTGTTTCATTCATGTTGGAATGGTGGATGCAAATGAGCATAATATTAAAATGAAAGGTGTGCATTAGGTTAACACTGCTTATGTAAGTGTGGGAAAATCTCAGGAAGAGCAATTCATTTGTGAAAGTCAGTGTTTTTAACTGAGCAATAGCTCTGTGTGAATTAGCAATAAGATGTGCTCCTACAAAACACAGAGGCAGTCTAATGCCAGTTAAGACCATTACTGAGATTAGATTTTATTCTACTGTGTTCTGCACTGGGCAGTTAACACCTGGAATACTATGTGCATTAATGGACATGGCATTTTAAGAGGAACCTTGACAAATTGTAGTGTATACAAATTTATGCATCCAGAAGCATAAGGAGTCTGGAACACACGCCATTGGAAGAAGTTTTGCCTGGAGCAAAGACAGCTTATTAACTGAATTCAAATATATGAAATACTGGATTAGGGAACAGACCTAGTCTGAGTTACTTCCAAAGTTGGAATTACGAGTTAGGAAGCGGATTCTGTTCAATATGAGGAAAAGTGTTCTAAAGTACTCTCTTTGCATTGGAATGAGCTGCCTCATTTCTCATTACTAAAATGGTTAAATTGTAGCTAAATGTCTTTTTTTTTTATGTTCAGTTAGCCAACATATAGTACACCATTAGTTTTTGATGTAGTGTTCAATTACTAAATGCCTTTCTTTAAAGCATGCTAGAGAAAATATTTCTGTGTTGCAGAGGTATTGTACCTTTTTCCCTGCCAACTTTGACATTCTATGGCAAGTCAGTCCTATCTAGCGGTAAATTTAGCCAAACAACCACTTTGCCATTTGGAATCTCTGAATTTCTGGTATTATGATTAACTTAACTACATTGATAGGATATTATTGTATATAAATTTAACCAGAGAACTACCATGATCATTTTTCCCTGTGCAAAAACAGAGATAAAAAGTGAAACATTAAGAAAACTATATTTGTTAAAAAAAATTGTCCAAATACTGTATTAAGAAGATTTGGTTAAATTTACATACTTAAAACACACATGTACTCACAAGTGTTGTGTTGTAGGTAAAATGAAACAAGACAAATGAGCCAAAATAACTCTTAATGGGATGAATATGTATCAAGTAATTAATTTTGGCAGTAAATATTTTGAAACCCAATGAAGCAGAAAAAGTATTACCAGTGACTTAGGCACAATCAAAATAGATGTGTTTCCTGAAAAATTAGGGAGTGTGTCATAGAATTATTAGAGATAATTAGTTTAATTTCAGTTCCCAGTTTAGAAATAGTTCTTTAGACCTGTGCATATAATATAATATAATATAATATGAAATATAGAATGTATATATCATAGAATCTGTATCTGCCTATCTACCTAAAGACATTAATTTCAAAGTAGAGCTCTTTATGCTTATCCTGAATGTATTTAAATCTGTTGTAACAACATTGGTGAAATCTAAAAATTATAGAATATAAGGTGGTCACTTTTTGACATAATATGCAGAATGAAGTGTAATACTTTTTAAATGGTTTCATGTGGGGTGCCTGGGTAGTTCAGTTGGTTATGCGTCCAACTCCTGATTTTAGCTCAGGTCATGATCTCAGGGTACTGGAATGGAGCACCACATCGGGCTCTGTGCTCAGCAAGGAGTCTGCTCAAGTATTCTCTTTCTCCCTCTCCCTCTGTTACTCCCCCCATTCTCTCTCTCTTTCTCTCTCTCTCTTTCTCTCTAAAATAAATAAATAAATCTTTAAAAATTAAAATGAAAAAATAAAATGCAATAGAATGCCTGCATATAAGAAGTACCTCGTGCTAAGAAATGCCATGTTTAGAAAATGACTATGGTAGAAATAGGTATCATCCAGAATGCCATGTTAAATCTGTTTTAATTACTTTATAGGGCATGTTACACAGAAATACTTATTTATTGATAATTTTTTAAAAATCAGTGTTTTCACCTTAACTTCTCAGAAAGGAGTCATAGAATGAAGTGAGAATTCTAGTTAAAATAGACAACATATTTAATCATTCAGGAAGTCTATATGTATACCTGACAGAATTGATATGAATAGTGTTCTTGAATATGTACACATGTCAAAACTAATGAATAAAATAAAGCATCTATTGGGGAAACAAGAGCAATATAAAAATTCAAGTAGCTAAGACTAGAATCATAAGTGAGAGATTTAAAAAAAATTTTAATCCAAATATTTTACATATTGTGCTGAGATTTTACACACACACACACACACACACACACACACACATCTATATTCATGATAATTTGTTGATAAGAAATTGAGTAAAAAGCCTTCTATACAACAAAAGGTATCTATATTTTAGGGGGGAGGAGTCAGTTTGTGAGTTTTTCTCTCCATTGAATGAGGAAAACCATCCAATAACCTATTTCTCATGATATCTGTAGAACATGACAAGAAATCCTCCTCCAAAATCTGCAATAAAATGAAAATTGCTTACAAAAGCAAGATGTAGATCTTACAGACTGTGAACAATTTGCACATTTGTTACAAAATAAATATAATGTATCTAACTATTCAAGAGGGAGTAATAACATTTACTAAAAGCAAGGATGTTATTTTGATGTAAAGTATAATTTACCATGTAAAAATAAATGTACCTCTAGGAGAGAAATGAGTTTTAATATATATATATATTAGGAATAAAATAACATTTGCCAAATATCACTTAAAAACCTGCCAAGGAACTTCTCTGAATGCAACAGGAAAAGTTTGAGTACCTGTATTTCTTTCTAGTAGCTATAGGACCTTATATAAAACTTAATACAAATTAGGACAATTTGAAACTGTTCTTAATGATGAAAATATTAAGATGTATTGAATATATATAAATCTCAGTTTCATAAAGATTGTTTTTCTTTATAAATGAAGGTGAAAATTTTTTAAATTTATTTTCTATTAAATGTAGGTGAATCTCTCCTTTTTTACCTTTGAAAATGCAAATAATTATTAGTTTCTTCCATTCAGTTTATGAAAGTTAGACTAGTAGGATTTCCCACTGAGGCCTTTGGGTTATTTAGGAGCAAAAAAAATGTTTTTGTTGGTTATCTTTTAAAAAATCTTCTATTTCAATAAACAATTATTTTAAAAGCTACTGATAAGCTTAAACATTCTAATTTTATTTGTTTATAGAAATGTATATTACATTTGGTAACTTCTACCAATTTTACTTTAAGAAATTTTTTCCATAAATATGTTTTTTATCTAAGCTGTCTCTTTGATATAATAGTTCTATAAGCCTCACATTAGCCATTCAAAGTGATTTCCAGAAATCCCATTAAAACCAGGACATTGTTTATTTCCTTTTATAATACTCTTTGAGAAGAATTCAGTACAGTCTATTAAAATTCCTTTCACTTGTCCTTAAAGTGTCCTTTGAATTCAACACTGTCCTATGTCAGACTATGGCTCTCTGGTTTCCCAACCTCATGACCGCATGACTTATTTTCCACTGCTTTTCAGTGATAACTTTTTGTATCCTGTCATTTTCTCACTTTCTTTTAAAAACTTACTTCTTTTAAAAATTGTGGTAAAATATACCCGACATAAAATTTACCATTTTAACCATTTTTAAGTGTACACTTAGATGACATTAAGCATCTTGCTTTCTTTTGCCATCACAAAGCACCAATTGTCTTGACTTCCTAAATCAGGTAGCAGGGTTAATGTTCTCAAATAAAGTAAGAGTTGAATGAGGAGAGTATGGAAAATCAAGCTATGGCTTTTGCTTTGATTTGCTGGCTTGCTAGTGGGTCCTAGAGATTCAAACAAAACAAAGCAAAACAAAACAAATATTAAAGATTATTAGTTAATTTTTGGTGTAAATTGTTAATGATGAAAGTGCTGAGAGCTTAAAGGGACCCATTCCTGATAAAAGAACTTAATAAAACGTATTTAATTCTCCTTAGAGCCCTTTCAGGTGAAGATGATGCTGCCTCTTCCCCAAGTAATGAATGCTTTTTCTGGTACTTAAAAAACTCAGTTGTTTGCTGACTATTTAATAATGCGCACATATATCTCTAATATTTTCCCAGTAGATACAAAGCTCTGCCATCACCTTTACCTTCAGAAAAATGACTGAGGTTATTATATGTTTGCGCTGAGTAACTCTTGAATACTAGTTACTCTTAACAATTTAGGGTTTCTTTTTAACTCGCTTACTCAGTATTTGCACATTCCTTTATTCAAAGAGTGCTAAATAGTGTTTGTAAAAGTTAATATGATTGTACTCATTTGGCCAATTATAAGTTCATTTTGTGTAATTACAATCCTCTTATAGTACTTGGTTGGAAATGAGTACAGACCTGAAAGACAGTGACGGATCACAGGATCACAGTATGCTACTTCTTTAGGACTGCAAAGACATATATGGTGTGCCACTGTATTCAGAATTTACATGCCATTTAGTCAATATTGCTTATCATCATCAAAGTTTCATATAGTACATCATAGAGATGCTGAAGAAAAGATTTGATGATGCAAATTGATTAATTTATAGTGGGGAAATTGTTACTATTATTTATTTCTCCAGACAATATCAACGTGATTATGGAATCAGACCCAGTAGATAAATATTAATTGAGCCTTGCTGGTGTTACAGACAGTCTCAGATCCCTGACTTTATCCAGGCAGCTTCATCTTTGTGCCTCTAGGTTTCTCATCAGTTCACTAAAAAGAGTAATACCCACATCATAGATTTCTGTAAGGCTCTGATAAAATAACACATGCAACAAGGTTAGTGATCTTCAGAGGTCCATGTAATGGTTAATTCTTAATGATTGTTAAAGTCCTCTGAAAAGACAATCTAATGTAATAGAAAAAGAACATAAGAAGTTGATGGGTGCTGTGGTCATCATCATGCTAGAGCCACATGGGTCTGATGACGTCAGTGAATCTTTCTAATTTTGCCAACCTCAGATGATCAAATGAAGGTATTTGGGAGAATTCTTTTTTAGCTTTACTTAATGTACATAATTCTTATTAAAATCACTGGACACAAAAAGACTTGCCATTACCTATTCTTACATGATTTTCTTTCTTGAATCATGCTAAGGGATATCCAATAGGAAAGGACAGTGACAATGATATGAATTGATTATGAATGTTTTTCATTCTTCAGTGCAAATGCTGGCCTGGATTCCAACTGAAGGATGATGGTAAAACATGTGTAGACATTGATGAATGCTCCTTGGGATTTCCGTGTAGCCAGCAGTGCATCAATACATATGGGACCTACAAGTGCCTCTGTACAGATGGCTATGAAATACAACCTGATAACCCACATGGCTGCAAATCACTCTCAGGTATCGAACTGAACTTGTCCACTGATCCAACCACAGTTACACATATGGATTCTGAGTTTTATAGCCATTCTTACTGAATTCACTCCCCCTTTCTGTGTGTGAGAAATCAAAATTCTTCCCTACTTACCTTGATTTAGGAATCTGTCACTCTAATTTTATGTGCTGTTCACAAACTATTGTGTTTGTTATAAAATTGCATTATGGTCTTATGAATTACTAAGTGCTTTCTAGATTTTGAGAGTCCTCAGAAGTAAAAAGAGCTATTTCCTGCTGCATCACAGGTTCTTAGGAGCAAATTTGGCCAAGGCTATCAAAAAGCCTATTGTGACTCTATTATAATACTTTTTCCTTCTCCCCTATACCATACACACTCATATATGTATGCCAAGGAGAAGAGGTCAATAATGGTAATGGCAATGACGATGGCAACAACAGCAATAAATCAGCTATATAGGACTATTTGAATTCTTCCAGTGATTCGGTGAACATTATTAAATTTCTGTTTGTTCCAAGTAGTGTGTTTGATTTTGTGATTTAGAAAATTCAATAGAACATGGACCATAATTTTAAAAATATTATAATTCATTAGGGGAGAAAATCACACATAGTAAAATAATACAAAGCAATATAAAACAAATAATGACTATTTAAATGAGCAAAAAATGACAGCAAATATGTCTCTTATCCCCTTACTTTGAGTATAATGAATCAAATTAGCATTGCTAATTTCTTATGTATATGCATATCATATACATGACACCATTTAAAACATTAGATATTTTATTTACTTACATAAAATAAATTCCAGGGACAGAAATTCTTAAAATCAGCTTTCAACTGGTTAAACCTTTGCACATTTTGGAGACAAAAAGTAGCCCTTTCAAAATTTTTTTTTTATTTCATAGTTACTTATTCTTGGAATATTCATTACTGAATCAATTTGTGTATTATTTGGAGACAGTTTTTTTGCTGTTGTTTGTTTGTTTTTGTTTTTGTTTTTTTGTTTACCAACCTACTTGGTACATCATGCATTCAGTGACTTAGGATAAGAGATAAAATCTCAAAACCAGTCAGTGTTTTTATTACTTTAAGCTTTTTGCTAAGGATGGTATAAAGGGGATGAATGCTAATGATTACAATTTTGGTCTTATTATGTAATGTATCCATGCTGTAGCTGTTTCTCATTAACAGTAATAATTAGAAACTAATAATAATTTTAATACAAAAACTGTTGCTGAAGCAGAGTTTAATACAAAAACTGTTGCTAAAGAGAGGATAGATTCCAACTTACTGAGATAGAGTTGACATAAAACTATATAACTTTATTTTTAAATTTTTAATGCTATGTAACTTTAAATTGTATAATGCATTGATTTGATACACTTATATACTGCAATATCATTGCCACCATAGTATTATGAACACTTCCATCACTTCACCTAATTACCATTTCTTTTTTCTGGCAAAAGCATTTAAGCTCTACTCTCTTAGCAACTTTTAAGTATGTAGTATTATTATCTATAATCACCAGGCTGTGCCTTTTATTCTCAGGCTTTACTTGTCTTCTAACTGAAAGTTTGTACTTTTTAACCAACATCTCCCCATTTCCCTTACCCCTCATCCCTGGTAAACACCATTTACTGTCTGTTTCTATGAGTTTGTTATTGTTGAGATTCGATGTATAAGTGATCTCACATAATATTTGTTTTTCTCTGACTTATTTCACTTGGTATAATGTCCTCAGGGATCATCCAAGTTATTGTACATGGCAGGATTTTATTCTTTGTCATGATTAAATAATATTCCATTGTGTATAAGTCTGTATAATATTACATATGCCTGTGATATAAAAATATTTAATATATACTAATATATTATGCAGACATTGCATGTGATATAATATGCATATGTATAAATACAAATATATAAATTAAAGATGCATTTGAATATAGATATTTTACATATAAACATATTTACACATATGTGTGTATATGTCACATCCTCTTTATTCAACTGTTGATGGACACTTAGGTTGTTTCCATGTCTTGAATGTTGTGAATAATGCTGTCATTAACATGGGAATGTAGATATATCTTTGTTACCCTGTTTTCAATTCCTTTGGCTAAATAACCAGCAGCGAGATTCTTGGGTCATTTGTTAGTTCAATTTTTACCTTCTTTAGAAACCTCCATACTGTTTTCTATAGTGGATTTATATTCCTACCAATAATGGACAAAGGTTCCCTTTTCTCACATCCTTGCCAACACTGGTTATCTCAAGTTTTTTTGGTGATAGCTATTCTAATAGGTGTAAGGTGATATCTCATTACGGTTTTAATTTGCATCTCCCTGATGATTACTGATGTTGAGCATCTTTTCATGTACTTGTGGGCCATTTGTATGTCTTCTTTGGAAAAATGTCTATTCAGATCCTCTGCTTATTTTTATTTATTTATTTGTTTATTTATTCTCCCCCCTCAGAGAGAGGGAGTGTTAGAAAGAGAGGGAGATAGAGAATCTTAAGAAGGCTCCATGCCCAGCTCAGAGCCCAACACAGGGATCATTCTCACAACCCTGAGATCATGACCTCATGAGCCAAAATCAAGAGTCAGATGCTTAACAGACGGAGGCACCCAGGTAGCCCTCCTCTGCCCCTTTTTAAATCAATTTTATTTTTTTATTGATTTGTATGATCTCTTTGTATATGTTCAATATTGACCCTAATATTAACATCTTATCAAATATATAATTTTCAAATACTTTCTCCCATTCCATAGGTTGCCTTCTATCTATGTTATTTCTTTTGCTGTGCACAGCTTTTTAGTTTGATATATTTCTGCTTATTTTTGCTTTTATTACTTGTGGCTTTTTGTGTTGTACCTAAAATAATCATTTCCAAGAACTTAATGGAGACTTTTCTCAATGTTTTCTTCTAAGAGTTTTATAATTTCTGGTATTACATTTGAGCAGTAAAGAACATAACTGCCTAAGTATTAAGGTAGACCATAACTGACCAATTTCATATTTATAAATATAGTTGACAAGAGATGGCAAGGCACCTTCAACTCCACAGCCGACTCCCTTTAGTAGGGTTCAGAGTCTCAATTTACCATCAACACAAAGACTGAATGATTGGGGGTGCTGCCCTTGCTAATGGAAAGTGTCCAGGATGTGTGGCACACATTTCTAACCCCTGGCATGTAAAGTATGCTAAAATATAATATAACACCCTATGCATTATATATTTACTGTGAAACTAAAAGATAAAAAGAGGAATGTAATAATTTTTAACATAAATTTAACAAACAGGACAATAACTCTATAACAATAAATGATTCATAATAAAATCCATATTAAATTACATAAAGTGACTACCATTTTCATTGCATTTTTTTTTCCTAATTTCTCCTGACACTAAATTTGCTTATCAGGGACTAAATATATGACTTTATCTTAGAAAAAAAGCTCTTTAAAAAGAATTTGAACAAAACTTTGATTGAATTGACCCAGGATTATAACAATCAAGGATGTGGTCAATTTGAGTTTAAATTATTCAGATATGTATTCATATAAATGTGCTATACAAACTATCTTAATATTTTTTATTTAAAAATCCAGTTTGTGGGGGGAGACACCGGGTGATGCACTCAGTGAAGCATCTGACTTGGTTTTGGCTCAGGTTGTGATCTCAGAGTTGTTAGATTGAGCCCCCTGTCAGGCTCCACCACTCAGCAAAGATTCTTTATATCCCTCTCTCTCTCTAGAATAAATAAATAAATCTTTAAAAAACAAAATAAAAATCCATTTTGTTTCCCAAAAAAATCAGTTTTAAGAGAAAACTGATCTAAAGTTTTACAGAATTTTCATATATTTGGAGCATGGTCAGATTCTTACTATTATCTATTCTAGATTCTAGAGCAAACGAGATACTATAACATACTACAACAAATGAGATACTACAACATAAACATACTAGACAAACTATAAGAAGGAAATAAAGACATTGATGACCATTAAAGGGCTTAAAAAGCCAGATTATAGGGAAAGGTAAAATTAATAAACAAAAATTATAGAATCCAGAGTTCCAAAAGTATCTAGGGGAAGTCTCCAGGCAGATTTAAAAAATATGTATACATATATAGATAAATACATAGATAGATACATAGGCAGTGATACTCTTGATCTTCACCAAAGTCATTCTGACAGCATAAACTGTTTATTTGATTATCAAGAATGACTTTTCTGATTATATGAATTAAATATATTGTAAGTTCTAAAATAGGTGTAGTGTATTATTTCCTGAAACTCATTAAAAAATTGGATTATGACAGCAGATATTTTCCACCAATTCTGAATAAATTAGATAATCTACTGTTCATGAAACTTGAAGGGAAGAGAGGGATGCATTTAGAATTATCTGGATCTTCCATACTGCCTGGGTATCTGCTATCTTTTCATTTTATTATCAATTGATATTCTCGGTGTGAATTTTTTTAACCATTAATCTACCAGAAGGCACTGAATTTAAATTTGTAATGCTGCAAAAACTGAAATTGAAACTAAGCAAAGTTGAAAACCATACATATGGAATTTTAATTACATTTTGTCTTGGTATTTAGATGAAGAACCTTTTCTAATTCTGGCTGATCATCATGAAATAAGGAAAATTAGCACTGATGGCTCCAACTATACACTTTTGAAACAGGTATGACATTGTCATAATGATTTCATGTTTAATATGGGTACTCCAGATATGCACTAGAATTATAGAAATATCTCACAATTAAAATTTATGAAGCACTTACTTATGGACACATGCATATATATATATATATATAAGATTACCATAGATTTTATTTTATTTGAATTGTCCAGGTGATATTCCCAACATGTTACATCACACCATATCTAAGAAAGTAAAAAACAAAACAAAAATAAAAAACAAAAAAAAAAAACAAATGAACAAATAAACAAACTAAAAAGACAACAACAAAAGTAAGGTATAATTAATGGAAGGGAAAACTGTCTCAAGAAAAGCTAGATTAGAAAAAGCATAAAATTATCTTTAAAGTCTTTTTTATGTTACCCAAATTGTTTTTATCCCTTGGGATTTAAAAATGAATACCTTTTCAAGAATTTTAAGTTTCCGTTTATAGAACTAAGAAATAAAGTAGGATTGATGATCTCTAGCTTTTAAAATTTAGGATTAGCAAGGGAGCAAAAATGTAATGGTAATCCAACCATGGTTCAAAGGTTGTGAGGCACATATTTTCAGTCTTACCCTCTTCATCCCTCAACGTATCCACTCCAAGAGAGTCTAGGTTGATACGTTTTGATGTTTAAGTTCTATGGTCAGAGTTTACTTATATATGTTATTTGAGATAAAAAGGTATGATTTCCATTTTAGGACAGGATAGAAAACTCTGAATTGCTCACCTCAACTTTTATTTTTCACAGTCTTCAGTGAAAATAGCATAAAATCAAGTCACTAAAACTACAGTGCTTACTACATGGACTAGACAAATCATATGCAGTTAAGTATACCATATTTTTAGTTGTCAGGAGAAATAGTTTCTTTGGGAAGGTTCAGTTGGTATATGTTTTGCTACAAATGTCTTTTTGCCCCAGACCATATAATAGTGACATAAATATGTGAAAGCACTGTCTAGAACAAGTGTGCAAAAAAAAAAAAAAGAAAGAAAGAAAAAAAGGACATTTCTTGTTCTTATAATATGTTTGTGCCAGCATTAGGCATAGGAAAAAAAGGCCATTCATGTGGTGATTTTTCAACATAAGGAAAATTACTTAACTACAACTATTTTGTCACTGACTGACGGATTCCTCCATTGCCATTGCCAGTTTCATTCATTTCTTTTAAGAATTTAGTTTCATTTTAAGTGAAAATATTCATTAGCAATGGGACACTGACTCTCCCTGACAGTTGGATTTTCCGGTTTTCCTTTAAGTCACAGATTGAAGATGAAACGTTCACATAAAAATCTAGATTTCAGGCTACTTCTGAAAATAAACAGAAAGGTATAGCAGTACTGGGCTCACATCCTTGAATGTCCACAATCCAAACCCTGTAGCAGTTGACACTTTGATGTAGAGGCCAACACTCTCCAATTCACTGGAGTCGTCAGACTTCCTGTGCACTCATCATGCATATACTTGTTGATGAATGTCTGTGAGGTTTAGATTCTTGCTCTTGAGATTAGAGTGTGCCGCCAACATTCACTGTATCATTAGAGAGAAGAATCTCTCATTGTGAACCCTGCAGAGACTGGGAAAAATGTAAAATATTTTCATGATGTTTATAAAAACTAAACAGAAATCTATTTAAAATATAAGAATTAAACCACTGTCTCTTTAAGAGATGCATAAAATAAGAATAATAATTATATGTCTATCTATCTATCTATCTATCTATCTATCTCTAGGAAACAATTCCAGAGAAAAAGTTTTAGCATATATAATGTGAAAAATGTTTGCAGCCCAAATGGCTTTCTACATTATTTAACTTGATTCTTTTTTTCTATGCAGCCTAATTTTAAGCTTATAACAAAGTTACAAAGTCCTAAAAATCATCTTTTTCTTTTGGAGTAGGTCTCTATATCCCCTCTAAGCCTCTCTACACCTTTAAAGTTGAATGTGCCAGCCACTGATTTCCTCATATGATATCTGGAAAAGAGACATACTTATTTTCTCTTTACTGGATTGTTTTTGTTTGTTTGTTTAGCATTTCTTCCTTTTAGATTCTGCTATCAGAAAAGGAGAAAGTTCTTTCTTTAGAACACTCTGTGTATAAGCTCAGTTGAACTAATAACTAGAATAACAACAGTATTTATTGACTTCATGAAGACCATAACAGAGCTTCAATGACATCTCCTTGCTTTATTTTCCAACCCTGTGACTCAGGACATTTCTGCCAGTATCCCTTTTGTCTTTTCATGGATAACATGTTACCAGAGATTATTCTTAATGGAGCAAAATGATTTTTTTCTGTATGCATCATTTAAGTCTCTTTCATATATCCAGATTTCTTTAATATACATGTTCAGATAGAACTTCTTTTCCTGATATCGTTTTCAACGATTGTCATTCACTAGTACCTAAGTGGGGGTGACTATCAGATGGTTTTCTTTGTGTAGTGTTTATGGAAATGAAGGGGGAGTGAGAAAAAAGAGGAAGCTCATGAGGACTCTGAACATCTGTGTATTTGGAAAGCATTTATTAATGTGACCACTGAGCAAGGAAATAGACACACAAAAAGCTAGACAGAACCCTTACATCCAGTTTTGCCTGCAGTCTGTTTGGAATATATCATTTCTGTCAGGGGTGATATTTTAAACTACAATTCATTAGAGCATTATAGGAATTTTCAAGGAGTTCTAAGCAGTAGAAACAGGTTTTTGGTTTTTTTTTCCTCAGAGATTTCTGTCTGTATGTGCAGAATGAAGTAAAAAATGGAAGTAATTATCTCCCCATATTTCTCTCAGTCAAAATAAGTGAAAAGACATCCTTGCCTTAAGTTTGGGAGGATTTTTTTGGTGTGTGTGTGTGTGTGTAAGTGATTAAGAACAATTACCATAATATCTTGAATTTTATTCTCTCTGTTGTAGTCTGTACAATCTTATGAAGCATTACAGTGAAAAATTATAACAACTGGTAGATTATTTTTTACTCTACGTATTCTAAAACATAGTGGTAGCTCGGCCAGCTATAACTTAAATTCATATACCACATGCATAAAGAAAATGTACTGTAATAACATGGATTTTGGAAGTAAAATGCATTAATCAAGTATTAATTTGCTTAATTTAAGAGCATTAATCAAGTGGTTTTCCAGTGTTATCCAATTCAATCCTAGCAGTGGTTTTTACTCCAGTAAAATTGCATTGGGAAACAAAACACAATTTCCTAAATTAATCATCTTGAACCAAAGGGTGCAAATCTTCAGCTATAGAAATGAAAGAAGCAAATAGGATTTTGATGAAACCAATTTTCAGCTCTAAAACCACTGGGATGACTCTAGTGTTTAGACATTATTTTGACCATGACCTTGGCTGTTTTAATGTTCCTTGCATATGATTCTGCAAAGAGAGAATTGCAAACTTTTCTGTGGGGATTAAGGGTAAAGCTGTAGAAAACTACTATTGGAGTGAATTTATTAAACTCTGTACAGAACTTGGAATATACTCAATTTATATTTTAAAACTTCATAGACCACTTTCCAGATATGTATGCTGAAGCGCATTGTTAAGGAGTCCTCCAGGTTTTAGCTTGTGAATGAATATTTAACAAATCTTTTCTTTCTGTGATTGATTATTTTAAGCATTAATGGTCATTATTTTTGATTAGTAATATCAGTAAGAAATATACTTGTGTTTATTCACCTGGGTATAGTGAGGAATTTAGACACTATCATGTGTACTTACATCTCTTACTTAATGACTAATGGCAGGCAGTTCCAAACTGTCAGGCTGTTTCAGGTTAACTTTGTAATCTGGGGCAGAGGAAGGAGATTGCTCATGTTAAGCCAAATAAAAACACAAGGTTTGAAACTATAATTTTAATGTCATTACCACTAGAATTCAGCCCTGCTGAGAGAAAAAAAAAATCTACATTTGCCAGAACCTTCTCTGAATTGCTTCTATAACTCAGCCATCCTCAGTCTTCTAGACCGTTAGAAAGAAATAAAATATGAACAGTAATAATTTAGCCTTGACCTGAGTCTTATAAAAGAGTATATAAATCTAAAGCAGGGTCATTATATTTGCTTTTGAATTTGGAGAATAGATCTGGAAACTGATTTGGGGAATAGATGTGGAAATTACCAGATGTTGTAATTATCATCCTTCCTTTCCCTCCCCCTCCAACAAAACAAAATAGCTCATCTCCCTGAAGGTGCTAATCTTTACTCATAGGACGATAGCTACTTATAAATGACCCCCAAAATAATTTGAGTCTTAATTATAATTTTAGGTTGACTGTAGATATAAGCAAGTGTACAACAGATATAAAGATATGGCTCTCTAGGGCTTCGCCAAATATCTATAGTGTCAATTATTTTAATACATAAAATTCATATATTAATAACTATCCAAGCCTTAAAAATGAGTTAACACAATGGAAATCCTGATCCAAGTTTTGTTAGTCCATTGGCGTAGTAAATCTATGAGCCCTGACGAAAGGTCAGAATTAAATTAATCCCTCAAAATCATTTTAATAATTCAGCACCTAAAAAAGATTTCCAGATCCTGATGTACAATTCTCAAATCAAATCTGTCAAAAGGCACACCCACCACACTGTAGAGCTGTGGTATCCAGAAACCTATCAGTTGGATTCGTGTTCAGTTTTGTTACCTTCTAAAAAAGACAGGAGTCTGAAGGCAGGCATTCCCTACTCTTTCTATGTGGAATAAAAAGATGTTGACCACCCAGTTCCTCTTTAGTCAAATACTGACAACTCTCCTAAGATTATAAATTTTAAATTCTGACATGGCACTCTCTTGGCTGAAGGGCCCTTGGAAGCAGGAAGAAACAAAATGAGGCAGCTGATTTATCTTGTTGAGACAAATGATTTTGGACAAAGTCAATTCTAAACTTTCTTTTCTGACTGATCAGATGGCTATCCAGGGCTCATTTTCAATCTTCAGGGGTCTTTGGCCTTTCCAATTTAGATGTACTCTCTTTTCTGGTTATTCTACACAACAGATAATAATGACATTAAATTCATACTTTTTAACATTAACCTAAAGTGAGAGTCTTTCACTTTATCTCCCTAAAAGCAGATTTTTTTTTCCACTCACAGTACTGGCTATTTACTTAAATCTTTACCTATAAGTAGTCCAAAATTTTTGTGACCCGCATGGAAAGTATTTTCAAATGAATTATGCAACATGTTAAGTGTATGGTACAGAGAAGATATAAACATAAAGTGCTTTTAAAAAGAATTGGTCACGGGGCACCTGGGTGGCTCAGTGGGTTAAAGCCTCTGCCTTCGGCTCAGGTCATGATCCCGGTGTCCTGGGATCGAGCCCCACATCGGGCTCTCTGCTCCGCGGGGAGCCTGCTTCCTCCTCTCTCTCTCTGCCTGCCTCTCTCTGCCTACTTGTGATCTCTGTCTGTCAAATGAATAAATAAAATCTTTAAAAAAAAAAAAAAAAAGAATTGGTCACAAGTGCTCTTCCTAACTATTTAGGTTCAAAGGAAGGTAGTGATTCTTATGAAGTAAAACAAAACATTTTAAAATAATTTCTATAAACTATTATTCAAACATATCCTTTTTTTATTTTTAGGGATTAAACAATGTTATTGCTATAGATTTTGATTACAGAGAAGAATTCATCTATTGGATTGATTCTAGCCGACCCAATGGCAGCCGCATAAATAGAATGTGTTTAAATGGAACTGACCTTAAGGTAACTACATGTTACAGTGATGGGATTATTGAATATTTTATTGGTATATCTGACTTGAATAGAAAATACTATTTCATGGTAATAATACAACTCATAGAATGTATTAGGTTGATTTGAATTTCACATTTGTACAGTGCTAATACATACCTTAAATATGAAATATGAGGCTTTTTAATCCATATGTTTCATTATAACACAACTTCTTGCGATAAGATAGAAATCAAATTGGGAAAATAAAATTCGGAACTTTATTCACAACCCTACAAAACGTGAGGGATGCTTTTGGCTTGAATGATTAGTGCCTGACGTGCAATTGTGTTGATTTATATAAAAGGGAAAGTTGAGTCTGAGAATCTATAATTGAAAAAATTAATTACTAGACTCTAGATTGAAATTATAGCTCTATTAAAATTAACCTTCAATACACGGAAATAATTGAATGCATTTCTGTTAAATCATGAATGTTCTGATCAGACAGCATCATAATTAAATATATGTCACATTCTAGATATAAGCTACTTGGCACTATTTTTGAGTTATCTTGGGTTTTATGTTCTGCTGAAGTGAGCACAGTGTTACCTTGTGTTTTAAAATAAAATTATATGAAAAAATAAAATAATTTTTGCTGCCTATATGAAGTAAAATATATTATAAAAATATTTAAATTCAAGTACATAGAACCTATCAATTACTTCAAATTTCTTTGTAGCCGTCTCTAATATCATACAGAAATTTTTAGTGGAAACAATCATTTTTGAAAATATTAATAAAATCTTGAAATATGTATATACAATACCAAGACAACCAGTGTGATTGTATTTATATATAAGCTTTATATATTTATGTATAAACTGATAATTTTAAATGAAATACCAGTTTATTTATAGAACAAAGAAACAGATGAATTTTGTCTTTTTTAATTCTTTGACTATTTATAACGAAATTGTAAAAGTACCATCACTCAAACTTGATCATATTTTTTTACATTTAAATTTTTGGTTTCTTTTATATTTTTTAATATCTTTTAATATTTTAAAGGATTAATTATCTACTGCCTTGGGACTACTAGCACATTAGGACCTTAAATCATGTCATAACATAGGGTCACAAAATGAATCATATTTCTATAGAGATAACTAATTCACTGATTTTCATGTAGATTGTCAGCCATGCCAATTTTTTTAAAGGTAGAATTTGGGAGAAAGAAGAAAAGATATCTTTAATTCACTACAGTAGATTGATACCATTAGTTTCTGAAAATGCTATTTGTTATCTTTACTACTGGCGACATTAGGGAAAGAATAACTATATTTCTTGTTTCTAATATATAACCATTGACTGTTGTATGGCCCCAAATTTCAGTTTCTCCTTTCACATAATCCTCAAATCATTGAGAACTCAGAAATAGCAGTTACACAGAATCTTTGGTTATTTTATATGCATCATGTTTATACATACAAAGTTTATATCCTTATTATAGCTGATATTGACATGGGTTAGAATGAAGTGCAGCAGTCATATTAATTTCACTTCCTTTGTTTAGGTTGAAATAAGGTATGTTCTCGCTTGTATTTTTTTTCCTCTTGTTGTAGTAGATAATTTAAATAGGGCAAGTCAAGAGCAGTTAGGAAAGTAGAGAATGCCATTGGTATCTCCTCCAAAACCTGTTAAAAGTAAATAATATCAATAATTCTGTGCATGTGTCTTTGTGTATGATAGAATTTCTCCCCCCAGTTTTCAGAAGACTGTAAACTATAACAATAATGTCATCAACAAATTTCTAGCTGCCCAACAGTTTTTTATTTTGGTGTTTACTTCATAACTCCATATGTCATATTTAGGGGACTGATTACAGATATTGTAATTCCTTGCATCTCAAATGAGTAAGTAATTTTATTAGGGTAAATGTGTTCTATGTTTTATGTTTATCTAGATTCTATTTCTAATGTTTAAGTAGAATTCTATTATCTCTGTAAAAATCAAAAAGCAGTTGCTCAGTTCTTAAACTAGGTATTTACATTGTTAACTTTTAAATTCTTATCTTGTTAGGTAGTGCATAACACAGCTGTCCCCAATGCACTTGCTGTCGATTGGATTGGAAAAAACCTCTATTGGTCTGACACAGAAAAGAGGATCATTGAAGTATCCAAACTCAACGGTTTATACCCTACTATACTTGTTAGCAAAAGGCTGAAATTCCCCCGGGACCTGTCTTTGGATCCTCGAGCTGGGTTTGTAACAAATATTGACAATCTTAAATTAAAGATAGAAAGTGTGGATTACATTCAATGTGGTAAAGTAGGTTTGAACATGAAAACCAAGATTAAGTGTAATGTGTAGAATTCTTACTGGGAAGTCAAAAATAGGAATGTGACTACCACAGTGAAAAAGAAAAACATTTAAAATGATGAGCTTTTGCACAAGTATTTTTAAAAGTTTTAAATGCAACTGTTTTTCTAAGTAATCTATAAATGTAGTGGAAATAAATAAAATGTGCAGATTTCTCTAATTTTAATGCCTTTAAATCTTGGAGGAAAAGAAGCGATTGTGGTTGATCATGAATACAGATGATATAATTCCTGTACCACTTTAGGGCAAGAGACATAAGTATTGTCCATGAATAATAAATAACAAGTACATTATCCATGCATTCCAAAGGGATAGCAAAATGGAAATACTGAGAAAGATTCATATTGGAGCTGTGTTTGAGTTGCATTTCATTGTAAGAAAGGAGAACAAGTCATTGTAAGGGTTAAGGACAGCAGTCTGGAGATTCCAGATGAGGGAAGAACACACAATAAGGTGTCGGAATTTAGGAGTCAAAGTCAGATATGTGGCTGCTAATGTTCTGTAGACTATGACCATTATCATTCACTTTTAATTGTGTTGTTTTGGTAGAGAAGGCATGCCTTTCCTTTTTTTTTTTTTTTTTCTCCCACTATAATTTAAAGTGATTACATACTCCAAAATGATCTCTGTAGAAGTTCAACCTTCTCAACATGCTTGTTAAAAGAACAAATTTAGAGAAAATGTGATTCTTTAAAATAGGACACATTCACAGTAAAGTGTCATGATAACAGTAGTGCTCTAAATTTTCTGCTATATACACTAATTTCACTTAATATGTCTCATGAAATCACTGCTTTTATTATATCATATATAACAACTAGTAATCGTTTCTTGCTAATGTGTTACAACTGTTTTTTTTTTCTTCCCTTATGTTTATAATTGGCAATGTGATCATATCACTGTATATTTTATAGCTTAATTTTAAACTTTATTTTGGGTAAAAGCAGTACCTAACAGGAGAAGACTTATACTGTAAATACTCTTCTGTTTCCAAGGTAATGTACAACTTTTAGGTTTTTGCTATAAAATTATGTAACCATTTTGTTACCTTTTAAAGTATTTTCCTTACCATAGCAACAGGAGTTTCAAAAGAGTGTCAATTCCATTTTAATTGAAACAGTCACAAGAGAGTTTGTTTTTAATATGTCTCAGGAAATAATGGCCAGTTGTACTAAGTTTGACTATTGTCATCATTCATTCATAAGAATGTGAATATTTTAATTACTTCAGTATTTTATCAGATGATATTTATTTTAGTGTGTTCAAACCATTGTCCTTTTCTTCAAAACCAATATGGTTGGCTTAGCTTCTCATTTTATACTCTCCAAGATGCTTCATATTAAACAAACAAGCATTACCTGTAGATCATAATAGTATTGTGGAATTTATTAGTTATAAAGCAAAAACTCTGTCTTTGCCTAGTGAACACAGCTGAGCTTAGCTTTAAGTTTTATTTCTCCTGGGTTATAGGTATTATTACCCTGTATACTGAAAGCAGCCTTAAGTTATCATTAACATAAACCCATCCATCAAAAGTGTCAGTTAAAACAGTGAAGTACTAAATTACTGTAAATATTATGAAAGACTCCCTTGATTGCAATTTTGGATAATATTTTATTATGATATAGATATGGAAAAAAAGATAAAAATCAGATCTTTTTATGTAACAATTAAAGCCACCTATTTTAGCAGATAAAATTTAATGACACCATTTTGTACCTGTTATTTTTCTTCTTCCCCGGAGTGAGACAATAGGGCAAACTGGGATTTTAGTTTGTATGAGATGCGCTTTAGGGTGAAAATTTCATAACTGTCTAAAATATTGTGTAATCCTGCTTTAAAAAATCATCTTAAATTATAAGATTATGTGATAAAAATGCCCTTGAATATTTCTACATTAGATTAACATTACTGTTTACATATGTTTTGAATTGCCCATCATGACTGACCCCCCATTTCCTTAAGGAGGGTAATTTCTGTCCTGATATTTAGTGAAGGATAAGGGAATCGTTTGTGTAAAGGAGGATAAAGATCATTGGACTAATATAATGAAGCAACTAAACTTTTAGGAGGTAGCTTAGAGGTCTTTTCTGTCTTTTAATGATAGTATCCCAATTGTCACAATATCAATTCCATATGGTGGTTACTAAGAATGATAAGTAGATCAAGTAGACAGATTGATCACCTTCTTGTTTGTTACATTTAAATTCAGCTGAGATCCAATTATCCTAATCATTCTGTTATCTGGTTTAATTTGGGAAATGCTGCTGTAATTTATCATAAATTGGGGGCAATTAATATTATTTACCAGTGTTTATAAAAGTTGTCATTTATGCAGAATATATATATATCTATATATATATATATATATGGATTTTAAAGTAGAATAGGAAATATAATGTTAAAGCCAGACTGAGCATAATTTACTTTTTTGGATGATTAATGTTATTTCAGGTAATCACATAGCAAAAGACCATTATGACAGACAATAAAGTGAATGTGTGATATTACTGTTTAATAGAAGATTAATCTACTCATTCATTAATTCAACTCATATTTCTTTAGCATTTAGTGTCTATCTGTCCCTGTTCTAAGTAGCAGCAAAAAAATAAATGGCATAGTCCTATCTCTAGGCACTTCACAGTTCAGTGGATAGGCAGATGAGTAAATAATTACAATACAATGCTAGAAAAAGAATAGAAAATGTTTCTATCTTAACTAGATTAAGAGTCCACTTCCTGGACAAGATGGGCAGGGTAAGAATTAGCCAGGAGATGTGGTGCACTTCAGAGCAGGCAAAAAGAACAAGCTCTGTGGGAAAGCAAAGATGCATAGAAGAGCATGGCACTTTCAAGGAACTGAAAGAACTCATGTTTGGGACATTTTAAGTTTGCACATTTGTGAAACTTTGATACCAGTCCACTTTACAGAGCAGAGAAAGACCTAGGGATCAAAATAACAATAACAAAACAAACCTTATAAGATTTCTGATTCAGGCAAACAGGTTAATAGAGGAAGATTTCCCTAGAATATGAGGAATACAGGAAAGTGGCAGAGATAAGAAAGGGAGATGATCGGTGTGTAAACCTACTGGGATTGGAGTTCCCATGTAATAACAATGATAATGAAGATACCTAGCCACTTCTCTAGAATTCTATGAATTTGAAAACTGTGTCTGCATTTATCACTTTAGTTGCTTGTACTGTTTTTCTGAGTCTGTGAGAAAAACATTATTATTCTAACTATTATCCTTAAAGTACAGAAAAGAACATTCAACCTCAAAATGGTCTAGTGATTCTCTCAGGATCATATAGGTAGTAAGATACTAAATTGAGGATTTAACCTAATTCTCAAGCTTTGGTCCTTTCTTTACTTTTCCTATTATATCACATTAGAATTTTCAGTAACAAAATGATATTGGATCATGATCATGTTTTTCAGGAACCATGCAAACAGAGATAAGAAAACAAACATATAAAGACAAAACTACTATAGTTTCTTCCATTTTAATAAATGGCCTTTTTACAAGATTTTAAATGTAGATATGAGTATTTTGGAAAAAATACAATCATTACAAGCGTGTTTTATTATTAAGAATATTTTTCTTTGGATTTCTTTTCTAGTAGTCTGTTAGCAATACTGTAAGAAAATAATACTAGGTGCTATTTTGAATTATAAATATATTTTAATGAAGATATATTGAAGGACTCATATATAACTCAGTATTTGTATCCACTATTGCCAACACAGATAATGATAATGCAAATATATTTGAAAGACACATTTTATGTTTCTGTATCTTCCATATGTCATTCTTTCTTCCTAGAATGCCCTTCTGATTTTCCTCAAGTTTGAATAACTTCCCATTTTTCCAGCAACAGCACGAATAATCGCTTTCTCTGTGAAACATTCCCCAGCTGTGCCTAAGAAGTCCCTACATATTGAACACATACCATTGCATGACTTTTTATTTTTTTTATTTTTATTTTTTGAGGTATGATTGACATAAAATATTATATTAGTTTCAGATATACATATGATTATTATTGGTACAAATGTCTATCTCTCCATCTAGAAAGTGAATTCTTTTCAAAAGAAGGCTTGGTTTAATCACTGGTTGTACCAAACACAGATTGTTAAATTCACTGCAGAAGGAAATAATAAATGGGTAACTGGATATACACAGCGAATAGGGTTATAGCTACAGGGACATTGTACCTGCATCATTGCCCAAACCAATACATCAGTATGTAAATAACCTGCATGTTTCAAGGAGAAAGGTCATAAGGGAACTTTTGTTATGAGGGAATGAAAGGCATGCTAGGAATAAAAACTCAGTTTCTGATTTCTGTGGGAAAATAGAAATATTCTATTAAAACAAACAGTTGCATTAAAAAAAATCCTTTCTCTACCAATTTTTAAACCTATATTTCCATATTTAGTCAAAAACATACAGGAAATGAACATCAAAAATTAATTATAATTTAAAATTAGAAATAATTGCTGTTGGAAGAAATATCTATCTCCTGAATTCAGGAAAAGAATAGTAAAAACAGCAGAATTCTATTTTAATTTTTTAAAGAAATGGAGCATATTATATTAAACTATAAAAGACATCCTCAGGAACCACAGAAGCCTATTGTTACGGTTACAGCAGCCATTGTTTTCTTTGTTCACACTTTGTTATAACTTACAGAGTAGATACCATTTAGGGCTGAGGTTTTTCAGATGTGATCCTAGGTAAACATTACATATAATACGGATGAAATCTGGAACTCCCCTTTTGACATTTTCAATGAAGTTTTCATTTTTCAGCTTTGACCATTTATAGAAAATTTTGTACTTAAGTAGTTTTTAAGAAGTTGGATTTCAGATGTTAAAATTATCAGAATGTCTGGTACAGTCTTACTGGAAAACTTGGAAAAAATATATGGGAAAGGGGCTTAAGTATGGAAAATTAAACCATTAAAGCTTAACCATCAGAAGGTAGGTATTCATAAGGAAAGAGCAATCCTGTGTCTATGAAGATTCATACATACCTGAAAAGAGTTAAATTATATTTTTCTTCAATGCAATAGAATCTTTTCATAATCTTCTTTTGGTTGATGAGTACTTAAAAAGACAAATCGTGATAAAACACAAAATAGAGACAAATTATATACAATTATATGCACAATTCAGATGCAACAGGTCACCTATTAGGTGAGTATTACTAAACCAATATATATAGAGGGAGTGGACAGATATATATGAAATATATAATACATACCTAGTACAGATAAAAAATAATAGCTAATATTTGCTAAACTCTTACACCATGTTTACCAATGCTCTAAATTTGTTTCCTGTATTCCATCATCTAATCCTCATGATGATCTTATGAGGAGGAACTATTATTATTCTTTTCAACATGTGAGTAAACACAGGCTCAGAGAGGTTAAATTGGCCACATTCACGCAGCTAGTAATAGGTCAACCCGAAATTTGAACCTGATTAGTCTGTTTCTAGAACTCATTTCCTGAAGGCTCTGCATAGTGCTGCTTAGAGAAAAAGGTAGTCTATAAATCTAGAGACCTGAGCCCTTGTTCCAGCTGTATCACTATCATAATAGACTGTGACAACACACATAATCTTATATGGTCTCTGTTTATCAGTAAAATGAAGGTCCTAGGCTAATGATCTTTAAGATTTGTTACAGCATTAAAATCTTCAATTAAGTTATATTTTGTTCTAAAATCTGAAAGAGATAAGGATTATTCATATCTTTGTAAGGTAGCTATGAATATAAGATTTATGTTCAAAGAACTATTAGTGAGTACAATATTTCTTTCATGCTTTCTTTCATCTAGGTAAAATTATTATTCCTTCTTTTGTGCCTCCATAGTAAAGTAGTTTTATCATTATACTTTTTTTCATTTTTTTCATTTTTTTTTTCATTTTTTTCCACCTATATTGTATTCACTGAGAGATCTTTAAAGGCAAAAATCGTATCTGTTTACCTCTGTGTTCCCAGTTCTAAGGAGTACCTGGTACATAATATGGCCTCAAAAATTATTGTTTCAAAATATTGTTCTCAATCTCCTTAAGAATGGCTCTGGTACTTATTAGAGCTGTTATACCAGCTGAGTAAATCGAGGTAGGTTCTTTGATTATGAGGCCTTAGAATCTACATTAGTACTTTGTGGGTTCCTATGTTCACAATATATGTGTTGTTCAATTATACATTGTGTAATTGAGTAGTTGTAAGTGAGATAAAAGATAGTGATTCTGTAGACCAAAAAAAGCTAAAGCACAGTTTCCCAAAGTGTTTCCCTAGGAAAATAAATGCTATCACCTAAGATTATGTGATTAAAAAAAAGGGACATTATACCTCCTTTTGAGAGAAACACTGATATATTAAAGCATATTAAAAGCTTTCACAATAAAAAGGGAAAAAAAAAGATGATGCTTATTTTGTTAAAGAAAGCATTTCTCAAATATGTTTAATCTTGAAACCTATCTTGAAAAATGTGATCAGGGAAGAATTTGTGGTGAATGGAGGGGCAAAGTGAATTATGTCTAACTGAAAAGATCTATGTAATTGAAGAGGAATGGTCTCTTCCAGTGATTTTTATGGAAGCACAGAAGTGAAAATGTAAATACTCCAACTAGAGCTGAAGTGACATATTTTAATGGTGGGGAGTCACTGAGAGAAGTATTTTTGTGCCTTTTTTAAAGGAGAGCTTGAATGGCAGGGACAGGATTTCAAAACTCTTAGAAAGCTTTCTGAGAATGATGTAACAGATGTCAGACTCCATGAAATATGCTCTTCCTGTTCTTGATAGCTTGGCTCAAGATGGTGATGAGACTAGTAAAAGAAAAAAAAAAGTTCAGATTGTAGATAAAAATTTTAGATTCCTATTATATGGAGGTCAGGCCCTTTGGAATTCCTAAATTACACTCCAAGAAATTTATTATTATTCACATCCAATAATTTGCAATACTGTATGGATAGCATTTGATGGAGAAAACTCTTTAACATTTGGGATGTTTTAATTTCAAGTGGAAGCATATGTAAATAGCTAAATAGAAATATGAATATTACCTCTAATTAATCTATATTGGACATGTACTTTGTAATGACACAGAATGTTATTGAAATACTACTTTAAATTTTTGTTTATATTCACTTTTCCAAAACATCATGGTTTTATAGAAGCCCACATATATTTAGTCATATCTGACATGTGTGAGAGCAGCTAGCATATAAATGATATCATCTATTAAAGCAAAAAAAAAATTGCTTTGTTAGTGTTCCCAAGATTCAGAGTCATATGGTAAGGAGGAATGTTCTGATTTCAATGACATAAACTGTCTTTGCATTTTTACTTCCTTCTGATTCATTTTCTTCCTTTTTATCTGGACTGTCATTATCTCTAGTATAGACAGCAAGGTGCACCCCCATAAAGTTATTGGAAAGGAATGGATTGTGTTTTTCTAGTTGTATTTTGCTAACATGTGTTTGCTTTCAAAATAAAAATAAAAATTCAAGATTTAAATAACTTTAAATAATTGAAGATTTAAAGAAAAAATACTTTTAATCAATTTCTGAAAGGTTTGGTGTCTTTTATTATCTGGTGATTTGAGATTTTCAAATTTGTTCAGAACAAACATAGATATACATAAGCACTGGATAGCAATCCAGTATTGTACTGTACAAACTTGACTGTTGAATTTCCAGACTCAAACATGTTTTTAAATTCTCACTCTCAGAGCTCTCTTTGAATCTCTGCTTTCAGTAGTCTACCTTTTGTGTAGTCCTTACCAATTACATTTTTCTTATTTTAAGTGTCATGCTTAATTAGGGCTTTTAATGATATTTTGACAAGTAAGAAAATTTAAAAAATATATTATAATCTGCTATCCCCTACCTTTATGCAGAACCTCCCAAAATAATTATCAGCACAAAAATACACATATTTCTTTCAATGATTATTTATGTTAGCCCAGTATTTGAAAAATAGTTTTTCTTCAACTCTTTTATTTATTTTTTAGTGTGTGGTTAAAATGTCTCAACACAGTTATCACTATGAGAATATATGAGCAAGATTTTTCTTTAAGGAATATTTTGATTTTAAACCAAATATGCCAGTTATAAATCATATAGAATAATTTCCGTACTATATTATTTTAATTACCACATTTTCCAAATTTGAAGAACTAATAGTCAATGATTTTATACTTACTACAAAGAAAAGAATGGATCTGGGGAAACTGCTTGGGTAAATAAGTTTCAGTTTTGGTGTTGGAATGTGAAATGGATGTTAATGATTCTCTAACTCAAATCTTGAATCATATAGAGAAGGAAACATATTCAGCAAGATAAAGTGACTTTCTTCTACTATAAGAAAAGAATAGATGGTTTAATTAAGTAGAAATTTCTCAGTAATTTCTGTCACTTATACATTATTTCTATTTTACCAGTGTATAATATTTATGTTTAACTCAGTTAGTTTTAGTACCAATATAACTGTCTTCCTTTTTTGTTTATTTTTTTAAACTACTATCTGATATACCTTACTCTAGAACTTCCAATAACATAATTGAAATCAGTACTGTCCAATAGAATTTCCGTGGTTATGGAAGTGTTCTATATCTATGCTGTTGGATATGGTAGCCATGTGACATATGGCTATTGGGTACTTGAAACATGGCTAGTGTGACTGAGGAACAATATAGTTCATTTAATTTCATACGGTATTAATTAATTTAAATGTTAAGAGTCACAGTTGCCTAAAGGCTACCACAGTGAGGAATGCAGATTCAGGCAAATATAATGTACTCCTCCATGAATCATTTTGAAGTTTTCAGTGGTAATGAAGGAAAAGGGAAAAAAACAAATCTGGATAGTTATTCCTCCAACATTACATATGCAGCTTGAAGGCTTACTTCTGTTAGTTTTAGGGATCTGTAATTTGTTAATGTTTGTAGAAATAATGTTCTCTATACAGGTTTGTGTGCTAAAGGAAACATACTTAAAATTATGTGGATATTTTGAAGTGTGTTATTTGTTTAATAAAAATCATAAGAGGGGCGCCTGGGTAGTTTAGTGGGTTAAAGCCTCTGCCTTTGGCTCAGGTCATGATCCCAGGGTCCTGGGATCGAGCCCCGCATAGGGGGCTCCGCTCAGCAGGGAGCCTGTTTCCTCCTCTCTCTCTGCCTGCTTCTCTGCCTACTTGTGATCTCTGTCTGTCAAATAAATAAATAAACCTTAAAAAAAATCATAAGAAAAGCTTGTATTTAAAATATGCTTCTTGGAGTTACAATTCAGAGAGCTACCATGAATTAATTTGGGGAATAGCTGAGTAAATAAGTGAAATATTGGGTGATGTTTCACTCCCTGAATGTCTGTAAACAAAATGGCTATTGATTTTCTTTCCTAGGTATTTGTATTGGATTGACTGCTGTGAGTATCCTCACATTGGCCGTGTTGGAATGGATGGAACCAATCAGAGTGTTGTCATAGAAACCAAGATTTCTAGACCCATGGCACTAACAATAGATTATGTCAACCATAGACTCTACTGGGCTGATGAAAATCATATTGAATTTAGCAACATGGATGGATCTCATAGACATAAAGGTTGGTCTGGTAGCACCAATGACTTAGTATATTTTAACAGTGCATAAATTATTCATTTAGAAAATATGTGCACACTTTTAAAAAAAGAAAACGTGTACAATTATTTGTATTCATTATACATAATTTCTCTCAAATACATTTTATAATTTAAGATTATACTACTATACTCCTTTATAACAATATTTGTAAATAAGAATTAGGCATATTTATTCAGAGCCTCTGTAATCATGTATAAAAATCATTTTGACAATATTTTCTCTAATTGTATGTTTCAAAATAGTTTTTATAGTAATTGAACAATATTTTTCTTAGTTAATATATACATAAATCCTAACTGGATTGAAACAGAAGGTTACATGTTTATAAACATAAGGTTATTATTGCACTGGTAGGGCTTATTTAAAAAAAATACTAAGTAAAAGTACAGTTCTTTAAAGAAATGACATAATAGTATTTAAAAATGATCAATTATACTGCACGCATGATTGAATTTATTGTTATCAACAGTGGCCACAAAAGTTAACATGGAAAATGGCTTTCAAATTACGGTAACATTCAGATTATTTGAATTTCAGCAAATGTAAAATTCTACAGATGCCTCAATTTTCTGTTTTTTTTTTTTTTTTTTTTTTTATAACTGAGTAGATTAAATAACTCTAAATATAAAACAAATGAATGAAGCAAATGGGTATGAGGGAAGTGACACTAGAATTAGGGACAAGGGAGACATCTGAGGGGAGAGGATCTGAGGATGAGGGATTGGAAAAGAACACCAAAGAAGGATATGCCGAAGGAGAACAGGGTGCAGCTGGAGACGACGGGGATGGAACAGAAACCACAAGTGGTTCCGGTGAACACTCAAAAAACTTCAGATTTGAAAAGATGAGATTTTTCCCAGAATGAAGAAGATAAATTATTTTCTTTATTGATCTTTCTTGATGTAATGTCACCTTTGTTATTAGGTGTTTTTATCTTCAAGTAGTAAAAGCCCAAGTTCACAGAGAGATCCCAAAGAAAGCCCACACAGTAGCCTGGTTCATTTTCTCAGGCTGCTTTCTTCCCTGGCAGTAAGCTTAGGACAAAGCCCAGGGAGGAAGGAAACCAGGGAGATGATAAGAGAGGATTATTGATAATTTCACTGGCAGGTGAGGCCATGCAAGAGTGTACCAGTATGGAGTCCTGAGAAGGATGAAGCCATTGACTTAAAAAGTAAATAGAGAAATACATAAAAATAAAGGAGATAAAAGTCACTGAAGTCACACCACTTAACGATTTTGCCTAAGTCCCCCTCAGCTTATATTCAAACAACTAGATCATTCTAACTGAAAATGCTGGCAGAAAGCTTTTAAAGGTGCTTGTTTCAGGGCAAGAACATTGAGATATCACAAGTGCGTTTGGGTGAGTCACTTATTTAGGTGTTGGCAATCCAATTATAGAGATAAAGAAACTTATCAGGATGCAGTTCGAGTGAATTATTTAAAGATGACTTTAGGATTTTAATTACAGCAAAAGTAATGTTGACAAATCGAAATTGCACTTAGCATTCAGCAGTTATATCTTCTCCGAAGAATCAATAATGAAATGTTCTGCAACATTCTTAGATGACATAATTGAAAGTTTTATTGTGGCAATAAGTATTTTCCCCATGTAACTATGAACCCGTCTATTTTTAGCATCTATCTAAAGTACTAGATTGTTGTGAATGCTTTACTTTCCACTAAAAACTTTCACTGAACAACAGAATTTAAACCATTTTTGGTTAAATGAATGAATATTAAAAATAGAATTTGCAACATCAAATATTTGCCTATTCACTCGACACTTTGTGCTTGAACACAAATTGTAGTTAAAAATGTTATCTATTAGAAACTACTGTTTCCGTCCCCTATTCATTATTTGGAAATTATGTCAGATGTGTGGGGGATTAATGTTTTGAAAACTTAATACAAAATTAAATGCGTATAAATGAAGTGTCTTGGAATCATGGTACTGGTGGTGACTTTGGGTTGAGGGACATACAGAGCAAGAAGAAATAGCACTAATTTATTAGAGTGAAATATTTGGCTGAAAGATACCTAGGTATGATGTCATTAACAATTTACAGTTTGATTTTGAAAATACTTGGAAACTCAAGGGGGGGGGGCAAAAGAAACCAAAAGAGCTGTTGCCATCAGAAGTATTTTTTCTCTTTAAGGCTTTCTCAGAAAGACTAATGAAAAATTCATTAAGTGTCTTATCAGGCATCTGCCAATATCTGAATGCAAGCCAACAATTACCTAGTAGTTACTAATGAGCTACTAATTGTAGGTAGCCTAAATTATGCCAACTCCACAGCCAATGAGAAAAAAGCCATTCATTTGCAGTGCTTGTAAAGAGGAGTAGCATTTTCTACTTCTCATACTTTCCCCGTAAAGACAAAGAGAATGCTGTGGTCTCTTAATTATGTATGTGGAGGTAGAAAATGAGACTTTGACATTAATAATAAATAAGTCTTGCATTAGTCTGGTCACTGATCTCTTTCTTTCTATTAACCAGACTAGTGTTATTGTTATTTATTTTGCTTGTTTAAAGTAGAATCAAAACTCATCAAAACAGTGGGCTATGCCATTCATGACACAGTAATTTGAGAACACGCAAAGTATATGAGAAATTTCAGAATTATGGCTCTTTTTGATAAGCCAAAACTTATCAGAAAAAAATAAACCCTGACAGTTTTTTTTTTCTCCAAACATATTAGGATTTAACCATGCAGTAATTTCATAAATGAAACCTTAATTTATTATTACTTATCCAGCCTAAGAACTTCTAAAAATACAGAATTCTATGCCCTAAACAATAGGTCAGGTTATCTCCAAGGTACATGTGACTTACAGAAGAATTTCCATCCATCTTTCTCTGCTACCTCCTCTACCCAGCCCACCTTCCTACCTAGTCTAAACACCACATTGCAAAATTAACTAAACAAATTAACAGTCAATTTGCCAGCTTTGGAGCATCTACATGCAATCTTAGCCAGGTGAACCTCTTCCTAATGCCTATGTATTTCATTCTTCTGGTTTCCACTAAATAATTTTATAATAATATGGTTTAATATAATGATGCCATTGAATATGACAGATGATACTGGATTCTGAGTCAAATAGTTTATTTTAAATCAAATTTTCATTAGATCATTTTTTTTTAAGTTTCTCTGATTTCTTCCCTTTAGATCTGGCCATTCATTCATTCATGTATTCATTCAACACTTAACCAATGTCTCTTTCAATGCCATGCCTTATGTTAGGCCCTCAAGTTACAAAGTGAATAAGTTTGTGTTTTTAAAGGATTTATATATAAATGGTAAAAAAAAAATGATATGAAAGTAAAAACATAAATTAGATTGGGGTTAGAGGAATATACAAAATGTTTTGAAAATGTAGGGAGGAATAGAAAAGCCATTGCTGAAGTAAGGGAATCTTTGAGAAATCTAAGAGATTTAGTACAAGTTCTCCATATGGGGAAACGTATAAAGGATTCTTCACACAGAGGTAACAGCATGTACAAAGATGTTACAGAATCTTGAACAACATGGGGTTTACACAATTTGGCTATGATTGGAAGTTGTATGAGAGGGAGATAATGTCACTAGATGAACAAGGGCAAATATGGGCCAGACTGTGACAGGTCTTATATGCTAAGTAATTTGGAATTTATCCTTTAGGTCATAGGGAACCATTGATGGTGTTTAGTTGATTGAATGCTATCATTAGACTTGACAACAGCATGGAAAATGAAAGACCCTAGAAGGGTAACCACTTTAGAAGCTGTTAAAATATTTTAGGAGAAAAAATTTGAAGTGATTATAGCTGTGGGAATGGAGGAGATAAACTATTACATACAAAAGTTATTTGGCAAGAAAAAAAAAAAGAAAAGAAAAGAAAATAGGAAGAGTTGCATTTGTAAGCTCAAAATAACAGAAATTTTGGTGGTCCAGTTGAAAATATTAAGTGAATGTTTTATATTATCACCCACTTAGCTGGGAAAAAATAACATCATTTTGATGACTTAATAGTTTCACGTATATTTGTACACTTTAAAAGGAATTTTAAAAGTACCAAACAAAGGATAGCTTAGAGATTCTTCTTGAGAAGCTCTGTTTTAATGAGAGCTACATTAATTTTAGCAAAAGGATTTTAGTAAGAGGAATTCTAAGGATATGAATAAACAACCTCCATTGTATCTTTCTCTAAAAAGCATTTCACAATACCTGGTCATTTATCCAGAAGAAAGGTTGCAAATAAGTGTAATGGGGGTGGAGGGTAGGATGGACTGCTAACTAGCTTTTTCATTCCAAAAAGTGTAGGTAATTCCCCTAGATCTCGGTTGGTTCTTCTATGGAAATAAAGATGCTGGGGAAAAAAATGGCATCAAAGAATGCCAGAACTAAAATTCTAAGCCTCCAGTTAAATGAATCGTACAATTTTTACAAAATATTTGCCAGATCACAGTTTTAACCCGAGGAAGCTAGTCTTCAATTTAAACTTGAGACAAGCTGAAAATCTGTAATAAACAAATGCTTCCTACTTAGCCTTTGTGAAAATTTCAAATTACAGTCCAATCCTCAGTTCTCTCTTTCAGTAGAAATTTTCTTAGTCTCCTGCTGGGGTTCCAAGAACTGGGACCCTCCTCTTACAAACTCATATTTCTATCTGAAGTCTAGACATGTTCAAGGAACTGTGCTTGATGCAATATATGCCCTTTTAGTCATTCCATCAACAAACACTGTGTGATAGGTATCATCAAAGCCATTTTGCTGCAAGCAAAGTGGATTATAGAGATTAAGAAATTTGTGAAAAGCCAAACAACTAGTAATCAGGAGGACCAGAATTTGAACTCAGATCTAACTGGTTGCAAAGCCTGCTTTCCTTCCATTTTCCACACACTTCATTTTTGAGCAGATAATTGACTGAAGATTTGTTGCCTCCTTATTGCCAATTTTAAAAGCTACTGCTATAGTGCAA